AGACATCTTTTTTCTCTTAAAAGGTGGTCTAGGGGATCCCTGGGTGGCGCAGCGGTTTGGCGCCTGCCTTTGGCCCAGGGCGCGATCCTGGAGACCCGGGATCGAATCCCACATCGGGCTCTCGGTGCATGGAGCCTGCTTCTCCCTCTGCCTATGTCTCTGCCTCTCTCTCTCTCTCTGTGTGACTATCATAAATAAATAAAATTTAAAAAAAAAAAAAAAAAGGTGGTCTAATTAACTTCTACTTTCTTGGCAGGTTAATTCTCTATAAGACCTGTTGCTAAACTGTGTATTTAATTTTGGTATAACCACTGGAAGCTAGTAGATTAACGTAATGAAAATAGGAGTGGGGATCCCTGGGTGGCGCAGCGGTTTGGCGCCTGCCTTTGGCCCAGGGCACGATCCTGGAGACCCGGGATCGAATCCCACGTCGGGCTCCCGGTGCATGGAGCCTGCTTCTCCCTCTGCCTGTGTCTCTGCCTCTCTCTCTCTCTCTCTCTGTGACTATCATAAAAAAATAGAAAATAAAATAAAATAAAAAAAAAAAAATTGAAAATAGGAGTGAAAGATTTTGTGTGCCTCAGGGACATGTTATATGAATAATTCTATGGCAGCTCTACTCACCTATCATGATATAGCAGTATAGTGTATAAATCAATACATATTAAATGTACGTTACTCAAAAGAAGCAGATTCAGACCCCAAAATGAGTGAAGAAAGAGTTCACACTGAACATTTGAAATATCGAACTCTATTTGGCAAGTAATTCCTCTGAGCCTGTTTACTTGTCTTACAAAATGAAGCCAATTGCCATATCTAAATAATCCTTAATCATTCAATAAACACTGCATAAGTACTAGGTCTCAAGCAGTGTACTGTGTGCTGAGGATACAAGTGAACAGACAATCCTCGCCTTAATGGGGCTTATATTCCACCAGAATTGAATCATGGGCTAGAAAGGGTAAGCAATTTGAAAATCCAAAGAACAAATGACGTACCACTCTTTCAGATGAAATGTGTGCTCAAGTACCATACTAACAAATGTATTCAACTTCAACCCAATCCTCTAGGAAATTAAACAGTCAGTGGGCAAAAATAAAAGTTTCAAACAGTAACTAGCTTTTTGTCACCAATCAAATGTTCGACAATAACTGCCTCGGGCGGGGCGGGGGTGGAAGTAGAAGAAGGCAGGATCTCTGAGCAGGTAGGAGAATCCAATCTTCTGAAAAATTTCCTTACTCCGTGTTCTTCCTTGCTAACCTGACTTTCCCCCCTGCAACTCCCATTCTTCTGTTTGCCATCTCCGACCGGTTCCCTACCCCAGCCTGTTCTCCCCAAACTCCTCATCTTAGAGCTAGTCTCCCCACCCCGTCCCCTTCCCGCCCCCGCCCTTTTCCTCCTCACAATCTCACTCCAACCCATTCTCCCTCAGAACCTTGTACTTCTCTCAGCTTCCTTCCCACTGAACGTTCCCGCCTCTGTCCTCCCCCTGGGCTGAGTCCCGGCCCTCGCTGCTCAGACAGGAGGATACCCTCAAAGGGCCCGGGGCACTACTCACCTCACAAACTTCAGCCTCTGAGACGGAGCCCGAACGTTACACCGGAACCGGAAACCCTCGGACCGCCCTACGGCCTGCCGTCGCTACCGCCACAGCTGCCGCCACGCCGCGGTCCCCCACATGTGACGGCGAAGGGCCGGGCCACCGATCTGCGCAGCCGTAGTAGCTACTTTCTCCGCGGCGGAGCGCATGCGTGCCAGGGCAGTAAAGTTTGCGCATGAAAGTTCCTGCGTCTTTGGGTTTCTCCAGCGAAATCTGGTAACTAGATTACTGCGAAGTTAATGTTGCCTGAAGCAGAAATTGGGCTTGCAGTACTCACAGTGTGAATAAATGCGCTAAAAGCGAGGCTTCTGGGATGCCTGGGTGGCTCAGTGGTTGAGAGCCTGCCTTGGGCCCAGGGCGTGCGTGATCCTGGAGACCTGGAATCGAGTCCCACGGCGGGCTCCCTGCATGGAGCCTGCTTCTCCCTCTGCCTGTGTCTCTGCCCCCCCCCCACCCCTGTCTCTCATGATTAAATAAATAAAAATCTAAAACAAAAAAAATTTTTTTTTCGCAAAGCGAGGCTTCTGCGTTCGGGCTAAACTGAGCCTTTCTGGTAGGCAGTAAACCATCTTGAGAGGCGGCACCCCTTTAACCTTTTTCCCTTATTTAAGTGTAGTGTTAGAGACCACCAAGAAAAATGACTAACATAGGACGACTCCGAAGATAGCATGCCCTCCATCTGTGCCTTTTATGGTTTCATTCATTCATTGGCGTAATACTTATTGACTGCCTACTACCATATGCCAGACATCCTCTGAAAATCGATATTGCTTAAACTAAGGACAGGGGCTTTAAAGTCAGACTACCGAGATTTGTATTCTAGATCTCACGCGTTAGCTATGAAAGCAGGCAAATTACTGAAGCCCTGTTTCCTCACCTGTTAAAAAAAATCCTCTTCATAGGGGCTGTTCTGAGGTCAACAATGACAGAATGAGGGTAATGCACTTAAAACAGTGCTTTTCATAGAGTTAAATAAGCTATATTACATATAATAGTCAATTGCCTATTTAGTCTGTAACACATCTTAAGTTTACATGATGAAAACTAAACTCATGATTTCACACCGCACCCGCCCTGCCAAAATACCAGCTCCAAGTCTTCATTCTCAGTTAAGAGCAACTGTATTACAGTTTCGGCAGGCCAATAATCTTGGAATCATCCTGGACTCCTGTGTTCTGTTGGTCCTGCTTTCTTTCTTTTTTTTTTTTTTTAATTTTTTTATTTATTTATGATAATAACACACACACAGAGAGAGGCAGAGACACAGGCAGAGGGAGAAGCAGGCTCCATGCACCGGGAGCCCGACGTGGGATTCGATCCCGGGTCTCCAGGACCGCGCCCTGGGCCAAAGGCAGGTGCCAAACCGCTGCGCCACCCAGGGATCCCTGGTCCTGCTTTCAAATACATACAGAACCCACTTGTTTCTCATCACCTCCACTACTCTCATTTTTATGTTTCTATTATTTTAGGAGCCTCCTGCTTCCAGTCTGTCCCCCTTTTGTCTCATAACGTAGGTTAATAAGCAAATTATCTAGTACTAGAAAGGCAGCTATTATAGTGACCATGTAAACACCTCAGAAAGGTCATTATGTCCTTGCTTAAAACCATTTCTTGGCTTTTCATACAATTCAGAGTAAAATGTGCCATCTATTACCTCTGTGATCTCAACCTACCACCAATCTTTCCCTCACTCATTCAACTCCAGAATCGTAATCCCTTTTACTCCTTGAACATGCCAAGGATAACTTCACCTCAAGGTCTTTGGATTTGACGTTCTCTGCATGGATTGCTCTTTATCCAAGTATAGGATTTGCTTCCTCCATCCCCTTCAAATTTTTATTCAAATATGACTTCAGTGAAGCCTTTCCGATCACCCGGTTAAATCCTGAAGCCTGTTTAGCACTCTCAATTCCCCTTATATTTCTTTTTTCCATAGAACTTCGTACCACCTACCATATCAGTACTAGTTTATTTATGCTTACTGCTTATCATTTGACTCCCTCAGCTAGAATATAAACTCCTTAAAGAGAGGAATCATTGTCATTGATATATCCTAAATGCCTACAGAAGCACACCTGGCACAATTAAATATCTGTTGAAGTAAAGAATGAATATTTTTTGGCAGCAGATCTTGCAGGCCTCAGAACCTGCTGAAGTCTGTTTTTCACCTAAAGAAGAGAAAGGCCTAAGGCATTTTGTTTCACATTGTCTCCAGGACCTAGGATAGTACCAAATAAAGTTAAAAGGCTCAAAAAATGATGAAACAGTAAGACTTGCCAGAACTTGTTTTCTCATTCTATCAGTAAGCCTGCATTTTTTCTTTTCTTCAAAATAAGGGTCTAAACCCTTTAAACCACTGCTTCTGAAAAGCACATATGTGGGCAAAGTATAATTTGGAAAAAACACATCCAATATTATGGCACATTTTCATATGTGGAAAATAAACCATTCTGTACCAGATTGCAAACTATAGGAACTAAAATTCCAATTTTAGAATTCCAATTAGTCTCCAGTTTAGAGACTCACCAGGAAATGCAATTATTCTCTAGGGAGTTATTAGACTTTCCCAGAGAAGATTTTTATATCTAATGGCTGGCTTTGAAGAAGTTTTAGAAATACATACCAAGACCCACCTTCCCTGATGGTGCACCATGACATAATGGAATAAAGCTTGGTTTTGAGTAACAAACTGAAGGAGCTCCACTACGTTAACTCAGCTTCCCCATTGTAACTATGGCATGTAACACCAATGTCTCCCAGAATATTCGAAGTCTGCTGGATGGGTTAATGAGTCCAACTGCAAAGTTGTAAGTTTATTCTGTTTCAGTTCTTTTAACTGTCTGGGTTCAATTCTCCAGAGGAATATGTTTTTCTAGGAACTGATTTTATTTCTAATGTTTGGAATTGGATGGGTTTAAATCCTTAGTCTCTCAGTTACTACCTATGATTCCTTCGGGTAATTAACTCTTCTGAGATTGTTTCCTCAATTATAAAATAAAAATCTCTACTTCAGAAGAATATTCTAAGGATTAAATGCAATGTATAAAACAGTTACTGTGGTACTGACACAAGGGCAGCCATGTAGAACAACAGAACAGAATAGAGACTAGAAACAAACCCCACATATACGGCCAGCTGATTTTTGACAAGGGTGTCAAGACTATTCAATGGGAGAAGGACAGTCTGCTCAACAAATGATGCAGAAAAAACTGGGTATCCACATCATATACATAACTGGGTATCTGCACATCATATACATAAATCAGCACAAAATGGATCAAAGACCTAAACTTAAGGACAAAAACTATAAAATTTGTAGAAAACATAGGGGAAAATCTTCATATCAAATTTGACAGTGATTTCTTGGCCATGGCACCAAAAACACATGGTAACAACAACAAAAAATAGATAAATTGTACTTCACCAAAATTAAAACCTTTTTGTACATCAAAGGACACTATCAAGAAAGTGAAAAGACAATCCATGGAATGGGAGGAAATATTTGAGTCATATATCTGATAAGTTATTAATATCCCAGAGAGTATAAAGAACTCCTATAATTCAACAACTATAAAAAACAACCCAATTCAAAAATGGGTGAAGGGCAGCCCAGGTGGCTCAGTGGTTTAGCGCCGCCTTCGGCCTGGGGTGTGATCCCAGGGACCCGGGATCGAGTCCCATGTTGGGCTCCCTGTGTGGAACCTGCTTCTTCCTCTGCCTGTGTCTCTGCCTCTGTCTCTCATGAATAAATAAATAAAATCTTAAAAAAAAAATGGGTGAAGGACTTGAATACACATTTCTGCAAAGATATACAAATGACCAATAAACACATGAAAAGATGCTCGACATCATTAGTCATCAGAGAAGGGCAAATCAAAACCCACAAGGAAAAAAAATGCACAAGGAGATACCATCTCACACTCATCAAAATGACTATTATCAAAAATATAAACAAAACGGGTGCCTAGATGGCTCAGTCAGTTAAGCATCTGACTCTTTTTTAATTATTTTTTTAAAAGATTTTATTTATTCACGACAGAGACAGAGAAAGACAGAGAGAGAGGCAGAGACTCAGGCAAAGGGAGAAGCAGGCTCCATGCAGGGAACCTGACATGGGACTCGATCCTGGGTCTCCAGGATCATGCCCTGGGCTGAAGGCGGCGCTAAACCGCTGAGCCACCCAGCTGCCCAGCATCTGACTCTTGATCTCAGCCCAGGTCTTGATTTCAGAGTCATGAGTTCAAGCCCCACATTGGACTCCATGCTGAGTGTGGAGCCTACTAAAAACAAACAAACCAACAAAAAAAAGCCTCCAAAAAACCCCCAGAAAATAACAAGTGTTGGTGAGGATATAAAGACATTGGGGGGGGGGGAGGATTGGAACCTTATACACTGGTAGTGGAAATGTAAAATGGTACAGCTGCTATGGTACACAGTATGGTGGTTTCTCAAAAAATTAAAAATATAATTACCATGTGATCCAGCAATTCTCCTTCTGAGTATACACAAAAGAACTGAAAGCAGGGTATCAAAGAGATATTTGAACACCCATGTTCACACCCGTTATTCACAATAACTAAAAAGTAGAAGCAACCCAAGTGTCCACTGACAGATGAAAAAATAGACAAAATGTGGTACATATGTACAATGGGCTATTGCCATTAAAAGGAACGGACTTCTGATACATGCTACATCATGGATAAACCTTGAAAATATGTTAAGTGAAATAAACCAGACACAAAAGGATAACTACTGTATGATTCCAAATATATGAGCTATCTAGAATAAACAAGTAGAGAGAGTGCTCACTTCGGCAGCACATACACTAAAATTGGAATGATACAGAGATTAGCATGGCCCCTGCACAAGGATGAAACAAGTAAAGAGAGATAGAAAGTAGAATAGAGGCTACCAAGGGCTGTGGAGAGGAGGTGTTGAGAATTATTGCTTAATGATGACTGAGTTTGTTTCAGGTGATGAAAGTCTTAGAAATTGATAGTTCTGATCGTCACACAACATTGTGCAAGTACTTAATGCCAATGAATTATACACTTAAAAATGGTTTAAATGGTAAACTTCATGTTATGTATATTTTGTTACAATAAAGAAATATTTAGTACAGTGCCAGGCACATAGTAAGACTCAATTGATTATTACTTTTGTCATCTGTTCCTTCAAGAAATATATATTGAGGGGCGTCCGGCTGGCTTAGTCAGTAGAGCATGTGACTCCTGATCTCAGGGTTTTAAGTTTGAGCCCATGCTGGTTGTAGAGAGGACTTTTTTTGTTTTCTTTTTTTTTTTTAGAGAGGACTTTTAAAAAAATCTTTAAAAAAATCTTTATTGAGCATTTATTTTTTTAAAGATTTATTTATTTTAGGGGGAGCAAAGGGAGAGAATCTCAAGCATAGAGCTCGATCCCACGACCCCAAAATCATGACCTGAGCCAAAATCAAGAGTGAAATGCTCAACTGACTGAGCAACCCATTGCCCCACTTATTAAGCATATAAATGCTGGGCATTATTCTAGGCACTGGGAATACAGTGGTTCAAAAAACAATAAAGACCCAACCTCCAGGTAACTGAAAATCTAATGGAGAGAAAAAAGCAAATAAGCAATACATCACAACAAATTACAGAAATCAACTACTAATATAGAAGTAAGCTTGTAAAGATAAATTCAAGACACACACAAAAAAAAGGAATAGAAAAAGAAAAGTTGGTAGAGATCAGGGAAGTCATCTCAGAGAACAGCCAAACTGAGAGCTGGTGTATAGGCAGAGGGAGAAAACAGCATGTCCCAGGAGTTCATTGGAGAAGACAAGTGGTTAGACAGAAAAGCATGATTCAGTCATGAAAGGCCTTAAATGCCATGCTAGTATTTTGGACTTTATCTTGAAATTAATGGGAACTGGGGATACCTGGGTGGCTCAGTGGTTTAGCGCCTGCCTTCGGCCCAGGGAGTGATCCTGGAGTTCCGGGATCAAGTCCCACATCAGGCTCCCTGCATGGAGCCTGCTTCTCCCTCTGCCTCTCTCTCTCTGTGCCTCTCATAAATGAAAATAAAATCTTAAAAAAAAAAAAAGAAATTAAATGGGAACCAATTACTTACTTATTAGGAAAGTGAAATGATCAGGGTTGCATTTTATTTTATTTTTTATTTTTTTTAATTTTTATTTACTTATGATAGTCACAGAGAGAGAGAGAGAGGCAGAGACACAGGCAGAGGGAGAAGCAGGCTCCATGCACCGGGAGCCCGACATGGGATTCAATCCCGGGTCTCCAGGATCGCGCCCTGGGCCAAAGGCAGGCGCCAAACCGCTGTGCCACCCAGGGATCCCCAGGGTTGCATTTTAGAACAATCATTCTGACATAAGTAAGGGTGGAGGGATTGAAGGCCAGGCAACACTGATGCAAAATAGTTAAATGGCTATTGTGGTACTTTAGTCTTCAACACAGGAATTAAGTGAACGCTAAGTATGGCTGAGTGTGGAGGAGGACTCAATGACCAGGCTTCTATCTGGCACAACTGGCCAGAGATTATTGTTAACATTTATTAAGATCTGTGCCAGAAACCACGCTAAGCATTTGACATGCATGAGCTCATTTAATTCTCTCCACAAACCCCTATATACAATTATTCTCATTTTACAGGGGAAACGAAAATTTATGTTAAATAACTTGCCAAGATCATGATTAAATCTAGATCTTTCTAAACAAAAAGCTTGGACAGCCCTAGTGGTTCAGTGGTTTAGTGCTGCCTTCGGCCTGGGGCGTGATCCTGGAGACCTGGGATGGAGTCCCACATCGGGCATCCTGCATGGAGCCTGCTTCTCCCTCTGCCTGTGTCTGTGTCTGTGTCTCTCTCTCTCCGGTGTCTCTGCCTCTCTCTCTCTCTCTGTCTCTCATTATTGAATTAAAAAAAAAAAAACTTAAATACACATAGTGCAAGTCCCAATATCTTCTTTTCCCTTCAAATACCTACACTTAACACATCACTCCATAATTACTTTATCTTGTTAGTATTCAGTGAGGTATTATTCCTTAATGTTTTCAGTTAACGTATAGGCAAACTCTCGTTTCATACTTAGATCACTTCTGAAAACTTTAAAGTACAATGTCAAAGTTTCACAACAGAGTCCCAATTTTAAAGCGGTACCTGTTTCCAGAGCACTAAACATTTTAAGATTCTTAAATTGTGATTGGAATCGACCTGTCAGAGGCAATCCAGTGCACATCAAAGAAATGTCACAGGTGCCTAAGATCAGGATATGAGGTACTGCATCTACCACTCTGCAACTGGGTAAGCACCAAACCACCACTCTCCTGAACCCAATGCAGGGATAAATGGATTAGGGAAATTTCTATTCATTTTATGACCATAAGGTATCTTCTAGCTTCTCAGAGCAGGGAGTGGAAGGTCTTTCTCCCTGCCATGACAGCACAAACTGACTGGACTTCAGGCAGCTATCCAGTTATCCTCTTTACACATGAGGCCTCTCAACTGGTTATCTGCTAAAATCCATCACTGTTCACTGCTCTGAGGGACATGGACAACGGTCAGGAAAGTGACTAGAACAAGCAGGGGATATTTTCAGAGATTAAGGAAATTCTAGATCTTAACCACTTCTTGGTATTTTGGAGGGGGCTCAGGAGCAACTGTAATCTCAGAGGAATACTGCCAAGTAACAGGCCTGGCTCTATTATCACAAACGGTACCCTACCATTTTGTCAAAGGCCAGGACTTTATTCTTCAGCAGCAGCAATTGGCCAGAGGTGAAACAATGCCTGGACTCAAAATCACTCAAAAGTGACATTAAAGACCACATTCAGGGCAGCCTGGGTGGCTCAGCAGTTTAGTGCCGCCTTCAACCCAGGACGTGATCCTGGAGACCTCGGATCGAGTCCCGCGTCAGGCTCCCTGCATGGAGCCTGCTTCTCCCTCTACCTATGTCTCTGCCTCTCTCTCTCTCTCTCCTCTCTGTGTATTCTCATGAATAAATAAAATCTTAAAAAAAAAAAATGACCACATTCAGAGACTAAAAAGGGACCTAACTTGAAAATGAGGTTGTACAAAGGTAACAAAATTGAACACCACCTGTATACAGAATTTTTTCAACCACAGTGTAAGTTTCTGGAGGGCAAGGATGAGATCTATTTCTAAGCTAAGCTACTTCTATGCTGTGCCCTATAATATGCTTTGTTCACTTTGGGCCTTACTGATGAGGGTAAGAAAAATGATCAAGTCCTGAAAGGCAAGGAACAGTGGTTCCAGCATATCTTTTTGCAGGCCTGCCTAAGTCAATTAAGTATGTTAACTGTGAAAGGGAAAAAGATATTGAAGACTAAAATTAAGACCAGAGAATTGGATTTCATGCACTTATAGCACAAGGGGGCAGTGTTTGAACACTAGTAATCTGGAGTGCTTGGCAGTCTGCTGTTTACCCTCCCTCCTTTTTAAACACCATACTGAGGGCTGGAGCCTTGGTAAGGAGAGATGGACTAGTCACTCCACCTACCCACTGTGTTCTCCTATAGAGGTTGGCACCAACTCTCCTTATACTAGCAGCGTAGCTATCAGGGAGCAAGGCCAAAGGAAACAAAAGGAAGCAGAGGAGCTAGTCTTCCCACAGAGAAAACATACGAAAGAGTGCTTGTTAAACAGGAGTAGAGGAGACAGTAGGGATCTCTGCCTGCAAACTACTTTGAATTGGATGGGCCAGGGATTCTCAAACTTTAACAAGCATCAGAATCACTTCCAGGGCTTGTTAAAATAGATTACTGGGCTCTAACCCCAATTTCCAATTCAAGAGTCTAAAGGAGGCCCCAGAATTTGCATTTCAAACAATTTCCTGGGTGATGATGATACTGCTGATCTGAACACCAGACTTTGAGAATCACTGCTGTAGATATTTCTGGCTCTGTGCCCTTATATTTCTTAATATTCGCTCATTCTCTCTTTTCTACCATCCACCTACAGCTTTATTTCTTCTTCACTATCCCTTCATTAGCTTCCTTTAGGAAAACTGAAAAAAAGACAGAAAACAGGAGCGAATGTTAGATTGGTCTTAAGGATTCCTCTGGACACGGACTCCAGCACTAGTCTGGTTGATGGATGTTTCAGTGGCAATTTATTCCAAATACATAGATGCCTCCTCTCCTTTTATCTAACAGTTGGTAGAGGGGGGACAGTTCAGTAAAGAGTAACAGATGCTTTTCCATAATTTCCTGCTTTGGGTTTCATAAGAATTGGGTAGGAAATGGTAGATATATTTCACTACATTTTAGAACAGTTCCTCACCTCTCTTAGACTATTTAATAATTTTTCCCCTCCTCCCCCTTTTTGTCCCTCCCCCATAAATTTTTATTATAACTAAATATATATGAAATTTGCCATTTTAACCACTTAATGTACAGTTCAGTGGCATTAAGCATATTCACAGTGTTGTGCAACTATCACCATCATCTGTCTCTGGAACTTGTACAGCTTCCCCAACTAAAATTCTGTACCCATTAAACACTAATTACCCATGCCCCACTCCCGGCCAGTGCTTGGCAACTACCATTCTACTCTTAGACTACTTTCTGACTTACTTTCTTTTCCATGTAATAAAAGACAGAGTCCATTGTTAACTATGCGACTGCTTCTATGTATGCAGGCCTTCTTACATATATGTGACTGAATTTATTACAAGAAAAGTAAGAGAAAATAGGATCAGAGAAAGAAAGGAGATTAGCTGGATAGGGATTTTCATACTGGGCCTACTATCCACAGGCCTCAGCAGCCCTGCCATGGATCCGGCCGGTTCTTTCGCATCAAGAAGTTGATTTTGCGAGCCATTTCCATGTTGTAGATACGCCGGCAGGTTTCATAGCTTTCTCTTTGTCTTCGGCGACAAGGCTTTTCATAGTACCGTCGTCGCTTAATGTCCTCAATGAGCCCATCCATGGTGAGGATTCTGTATTAAAGCAGGCAATGAAGTTAGAAATGTGGGCTCATTATTATTCTTTTCCAATTTCACAGATGGCCAGAAGTCAACTGACAAACAATTGGTGTCTATAAAAATCATGATGTGAAATGGTGGTTATATAGCATTAACTGCCTACTTACAGAGGTCCTATATAGGAAATTGTAAGAAACAGCAAAGCAATTAATTACACAGTCCTTGCTCTTGGGAAGTTTATAGTCAGGATCATATTTCTATCCCTTTTTCTACCACAGCACGCCTGAGGGATGTGACATAGTCCTTAAGAACAAGGGCTCTCTATAGCAATGATTCTCAACCAAGGGGTCATTTCAGAATCTTCAGATGGGGTGGGTCATTTGCAGTAAGAAAAACAAATCACTAGGAGTGATTTCTAGACAGCAAATGCTGTCCCATCTCTAAAGTTTAACTGACACAGCTGAAGTTCTGTAGGCCCGAGATATCCCCAGACCTACTTAATACAAGGAAAGAGGCTATCACACTAATGATACAAATAAGAGCATTAAATAAAAGCCTCACCCATCATTTTTCCATGTACCATAAGCTCCAACCACACTACTTTGCTGACTACTCCCTAAACACCCTTTGGTACCAAGTCTTTATTCATGCTATTTCCGCAACCTAGAATGCCACCCCACCTCCAGTTGCCAACCTTCTGAAATTTCCCTCATCTTCTTGATGCCAAGCCTAGACGCCACCTTTCCAGAAGTTTCTTATCTTCTTAAAGAAAATCATTTCTTTTGTTGCAGAACTACTTAGCGATTGTTTCATTCCTCCATTCTAATAGTTATTTATATAAACATCTCCCTCATTAGATTGAAAACTCTCTGAGCAGGGAGCCTGACTCAGGGCTGTATTCCAGGATCCTGAGATCATGACCTGAGCCAAAGGCAGACACTTAACCAACTGAACCACCAGGTGTCCCAACAATATGCACTTCTTGTACTGCTTTCCTAGATAATCCCGGATAACCCCAGCCACAAAGTATGAATTTTCTAAATTCATAAAGAAGCCAAAAAGAGATCTTCGCACCTCAGGCCCTAAGTTTCTGGAACTTGAATCTCTTCGTATATTTTTGTTTCTAACCATTCCTCTTCTTTCTGATCAAATTCTTTCCTTTTTAATATGTAGTTCTTTTTTTCCAAAAACTATTCCTAAATTGTTCTAATACCTGAAATAAAGTAAAAAAAAAATAAAAAAAGTAATGCCACGCTTTTTAAAAAAGATATATGTATTTATTTTTGAGGGGAAACCACAAGTAATGGGAGAGGCAGAAAGAGAGGAAGAGCGAATCCTCAAGCAGACTCTTGGCTGAGCAAGGAGCCTGACGTGGGGCTCGATCCTAAGACACCGAGATCATGACTTGAGCCAAAATCAAGTCTGCCACTTAACCAAATGGGCCACGCAGGTGCCCCAGAAATGCTATATTTCTTAACTAGGATAACTGACAGTGTGCCAAGAGTACAATCCAGAGACAAAAGTCTCTGGATAAAGTTGATGCATTTGCCCAAAGAACCAATTTTAGGGACGCCTGGGTGGCTCAGCAGTTGAGTGTCTGCCTTTGGCTCAGGGCATGATCCCAGAGTCCCGAGGTCAAGTCCCACACTGGGCTCCCCTCCAGAAGCCTGCCTCTCCCTCTGCCTGTGTCTCTCACAAATAAATAAATAAAATCCTAAAAAAAAACCAACAATTTTAGCTTGAACAGGGGTGGAGGTGCTACCCTTAAAACAGATGCAATGGCAATGAATTAAAAAAAAAAAATCACCTAAAAAAATCATGCTTGGGTAGCTCAGTGGTTGAGCATCTGCCTCTGGCTTAGGTTGTGATCCCAGCATCCTGGGATAAAATCCTGCATCTGGCTTTCCACAAGGAGCCTGCTTCTCCCTCTACCTATATGTCTCTGCCTCTCTCTGTCTCTCATGAACAAATAAAATCTTAAAAAAAAGTCACCTAAAATTTTCATTAAAAAAAGAGAAACTTCAAAGAGAACCCATGTTTGCTTATAGTAGCAGAATCCCTATAGTTCTTTCACTCTCCTTTGCTGTTAAGGATACCTTTGGGAAGGTCTGACAAACATTAAGAGATTGACAAAAGATAAAGAAACATTTACATTCATTAAATAGACACTTACTGAAAGCTTTCTATGCGCCAGACATTTTGGCAAATGTAAGGGATATAAAAATGAAAATGCACAGGTCTCTGCTCTTAAGAAGTTTATTACAATCCTGGCTCAAAACTAAAATCACATGGGACATTTTAAAAAATGCTGCTGGTCAGATGCCACTGCCCAGACTTAGTCTCGAGGGGGGCCTTGGCAGCAAGAGGTTTTTTAAAGGTTCCTCAAGTGATTCCAAATTGGCAGCCAGGGTTGAAATCCGCATGGTGTCACACTGGCCAGTTTCCTTCGGTTTCTGACTAAAATTAGCACTTATACCTAGGAAAAAAGTATGCATAAACTGCCATTCACCTACAAAGAGAATCTTAAAAGAAGTATGGGGCTGCTGTTTAACAAAAAGAAGAATGAAAGAAAGAAAGACAAAATAAGAGCAATATGAAAACAGATACCTAAGAACAAGATCTGAGATAGTGCTAGGCCAGGCCAGATGGCAGAAAACCAAACATGTCTCACCTTCTGCCATGTATTTATTCTTCTCTCACCTACCACCCATTTGCACCTGGAATCAGGAGGGATTTTTAGAGAAAATGAAAAAAAGGAAAAAAAAATGGAAAAGAAAAACTCTAATGTTAATTAAAATAAAAATATATTGGCTAAATACGGATTTTGGAAGATGTAGATATACAGACATTTGGTTCTAAGTTAATTAGAAAGATCCCAAAGACACCAGAAAAGTCTTCTCTCAGAAGGTAGAAGGCCTAATGTTGTTCTTCAAGTCTAACATCAATGGAAAGAGGATCACCTTCAGGGAGGAAATTAGAAATATTCTGTTTTTCAGGTTTTTTTTTTTTTTTTAAGATTTTATTTATTTATTCATGAGACACAGAAAGAGAGAGGCAGAGACATAGGCAGAGGGAGAAGCAGGCTCCATGCAGCCTGATGTGGGACTTGATCCTAGAACTGTAGGATCACGCCCTGAGCCGAAGGCAGACGCTCAACCACTGAGCCACCCAGGAGTCCCTGTTTTTCAGGTTTTGAATTTTTGTAACTGGAAATGGAGATGAGAAAGCAGAGCATACAGGGGGAATAAATGCTATTATTTCAAAATAAGATTAGCAATAGGCTAAGTAGAGGAGCCTTGGTTGGGAAGTTATCACTATCTATAAGAAAAGTCCTTCCAGGCAGCCCTGGTGGCGCAGTGGTTTGGCACCGCCTGCAGCCTGGGGTGTGATCCTGGAGACCCGGGATCGAGTCCCGCGTCGGGCTCCCTGTGTGGAGCCTGCTTCTCCCTCTCCCTCTGCCTGTGTCTCTGCCTCTCTCTCTGTGTCTATGAATAAATAAATAAAAATCTTTAAAAAAAAAAAAAAGAAAAAGAAAAGTCCTTCCAGTATCAGCAGCAAACTGGATCATCATGACAAAAAAAGGCTTAATTTTCTTATCTTTTCATCTTCAGTCCACCTTGAGCATAACCTGATGATCAAGGAAGATAGAGAAAAAACAGCTACAGTAAATTTTTAATCATTCAAAATAAATAAACAGGGACACCTGGGTGGCTCAATGGTTGATCATCTGCCTTCGGCTCAGGGAGTGATCCCAGGGTCCTGGTATGGAGTCCCACATCAGGCCCCCCACAGGGAACCTGATTCTCCTCTACCTATGTCTCTGTCTCTCTCATTAATAAATAAATAAACAAAACAAAAATAAATAAATAAGCAAACAAATCACCCACAAAGCAAAACCAAAAGGGTAAAAATCTTCCTTACAATGACTTCCAAATTATGAAAATAACTAACACACAATGCCTATTATGTGCCAAGCACTGTTCTAAGCAATTTAATCATATAAACTAATTTAATCCTCACATCCACCCTGTGAGGTAGGTGCTATTTTATTATTAGTTCCACTTTACAGATGAAGAAACTGAGGCAGAGACATTAAGTAGCTTACCATAGATCATGAAGCTAATAAATGGCAGAGCTGAGATCTATTTGAACCGGGCAGTCTACTACAGGGTCTGTGCTTTTTTTTTTTTTTTTTTTTTTTTTTAAGATTTGTTTATTTGAGAGAGAGAGCGCATGAACATGCAACATGTGAGGAGAGAAAATGTCCAGCAGACTCTCCATTGAAGGTAAAGTTTCACTCAGGGCTTGATCCCATTACCCCAAGATCATGACCTGAGCTGAAATCAAGAGTCATTCATTCAACCAACTGAACCACCCAGGTGCCCCGGGGGCTGTACTCTTATATTCAAGCCATCATCAAAGCTTTGGTCAAAAGTTTTAAAGTTGTAGCTACTTCCTTGATACAAACATAAAAAAATGGTTCAATAAATAATCCTGCACCATAAATTATTTTTTCATTCCTTGCCAAAGTAACTCATTTCTTAAAAATCAAAATTTTGAGGGCACTTGGGTGGCTCAGTTGGTTGGGCATCTGCCTTCAGTTCAAGTCGTGGTCCCGAGTTCTGGGATCCAGCCCCACATGGGGCTTCCTGCTCAGTGGGGAGCCTGCTTCTCCCTCTCCTCCCCACTCATGCTCTCTCACTATTTGTCTCTCTCAAATAAATAAAATCTTTAAATTTTGATTTTTTTAATCAAAATTTTGCTTTTTGTGTTATTTGCACTTTAGGAACAGTGGAGGTTAGTGGAGCTAAAGCTAAGCCTTTATAAATTTGTTTTACCATCAAGTAATGGCTAGACTTTGACATCCCTCAATAATATAAACATCTCAATCACCCTGGCTAATAGACCCATCTAAATCCACCAAAATAAATCATAGGAAGACTTACAGGTAAAGATCAGAAAAACAACAGAGGAACCTGCATGACTTCCTTTTCCCAAATTCAGCATTTAATCTCACTAGCTAATTCACTATGGAGTCTATAAAGACATTCAATTTGTGCTTATTCTACAGGGGCAGAGAAAAGTTATTAGACACCTCAACCCTCTCACAGAGGTGCCACCAGGTCTGAAATAGGAAAGAGTTGGGAATGAGCAGTGATAGAAAAAAATGATACAGGGAAACCTGGGTGGCTCAGTGGTTGAGCACCTGCCTTCGGCCCAGAGCATGATCCTGGGGTCCTGGGATCGAGTCCCACATTGGGCTCCCTGCATGGAGCCAGCTTCTCTCTGTGTGTCTCTCATGAATGAATAAAAATATTTTTAAAAAAAATGAAAAAAAAATGATACAGGGAATCTTCCCACATAGTACTTAACTGAGTATCTTTAGGGAACAGCTTCTGCCCAAGGATACAACTGGTATGCACACACATAGAATGAGGTAATGGGGCTGACCTAAGACCAGATCCTTTTAAGAGACACACAATCAGGGTACCTGGGTAGCTCAATCCATTAAGCGTCTGCCTTTGGCCTAGGCCATGATCCCGGAGTCCTGGGATCAAGCCTCTATTGGACTCCCTATTCAGTGGGGAGCCTGCTTCTCTCTCTATCCCTCACCCCACTCATGCTCTCTCTCAAATAAATACAATCTTAAAAAAAAAAAAAAAAGACAATACAGAAACCATTTTGAGCCTGCAACTGCTTCTCACAGCACCTTCGCCCTCATTTAATATGGTCTTCTGTCATCCAACACTCCACACCTAAAACTCTGCTAAGAACTAGTTTCTCTTTCATTTACCCTCTCAGACCCCAACAACCTTAATAAGCCCAATCAAATATTCTTTTTTTTTTTTTAAGATTGTATTTGAGAGAGAGTGAGAGAGAGTACAAGCAGAGTGGAGAGAGAAGCAAGCTCCCTGCTCAACAGGGAGCCCCACATGGGACAATTCCAGGACCCTGAGATCATGACCTGAGCCGAAGGCAGACATTTAACTGACTGAGCCACCCAGGTACCCTCAAATAAATAGGTGTCTACATCTCCAGAGGAACTAGAACACTGCATAGAAAGGTATATTTTTTATTTTTTTTTAATGATAGTCACACACACAGAGAGAGAGAGAGAGAGAGAGAGAGAGAGAGGCAGAGACATAGGCAGAGGGAGAAGCAGGCTCCATGCACCGGGAGCCCGAGGTGGGATTCGATCCCGGGTCTCCAGGATCGCGCCCTGGGCCAAAGGCAGGCGCCAAACCGCTGCACCACACAGGGATCCCTAGAAAGGTGTATTTTACACCCCTCTCCACCATTCAATAATCATGTGATCCAAGAAACATAATTTACATGTCCTAAGCTTCCCTTACTTGTGTAATAAAGCTACCATTTTATTGGCCTTAAGGTAGAAGGCCAGCTCATATATTCTCTTAAGATCTCTTTCATATAATTCTTTGATAATTCAATTCAACAAGCATCTGTTTCTTTCATACTGGAGAGAGAAAATGATGAAGCGAGACAGAAAATCAAAATCCTTATAACCAGTGATAAGGTAAGACTAATTAACTATTGGCCTGAGAACATATGATGGTAAGGTATTCTTTATTACAGCTCTTCTACACCTCTTTAGTCTAGCATTCAAAAACCTTTCAAAACAGGGCAGCTTGGGTGGCTTGGCGGTTTGGCGCTGCCTTCAGCCCAGGGCCTGATCCTGGGGAACCGGGATCGAGTCCCACGTCAGGCTTCCTGCATGGAGCCTGCTTCTCCCTCTGCCAGTGTCTCTGCCTCTCTTTCTCTCTGTGTCTCTCATGAATAAATAAATAAAATCTGGGCAGCCCGGGTGGCTCAACAGTTCAGCACCGCCTTAGGCCAAGGACATGACCCTGGAGACCAGAGTTGGAGTCCCGTGTGGGGCTCCCTGCGTGGAGCCTGCTTCTCCCTCTGCCTGTGTCTCTGTCTCTATGTCTCTCATGAATAGATAAATAAAATCTTAAAAAAAAAAAAACAAAACAAACTTTCAAAACAGCTTTTCGGATACTCCTAGTTCATTTCCACCTTTATGTTTTTGCTAATGCTGTAACCTTTCTCAAACCTGTTAAGACTTTTCCATCTCTTGCTCGCTTCTCCAAGATCCCAGATCTGAATTCATCTATTAGCCTTGTCCGACACCAATCCCTCAACTTTATATTTATCACATACTACGTTCCCACTGCCCAGTTATATTTTTATTTTCCCTTTGGGCTCCTTAAGTCTTGGGAGAGAATTCAGGCTCTGTATAAACAAACTTCATACTGTTAGGTTTTGGGGAAAACTTCATTTTTAAGATAATAAGCTAAGGGGCTGAAAAGTTTCAAGAGACTCTGAATACCTGGCTGATGTAAGTTTGAGAACAATCTATGACAGGGGAAGGAGAGAATAACTACCCAAGCACTTCCCAAGAGAGCTTGTTTCTGGTTACCTGTTTAGGGTCCTGTATGCACCTTCCACGTTCCCTTCCTGTACCATCACAGTCCTGGCAACGAACTTCAGATGTCTTGCCATGACCTTGGAATTAAATCTTCACTCCGCAGGGCCTAAAGGGTGATGGAGAAAGGGAAAGTATAGAGACCAGGTAAGAAAAGGAAACAGCAGAATGCACACTCTACCGCGTGGCTTACTTAGGATCTGGAAAAGCAAGGTCCTTGGAAACAAAGGACACAAAGCACGTGGAGTCTTCACATCTTAGAGAGTATACGCTAATCATAACCAAGACTGCCTAGTTCTCTTTGCGGATACAAACCCTAACTTAGGGGAAGAAACGAAACTGGAGCAGGGCGTCACCACGGAGATACACGAAGCCCGGACGGGAGGATCCGGAAACGCCCCAGGGTGCTCCAGGTACCGCTCACCGCCCCAGGAGCGTTTGGGGCGAGAACTGGGAACGGAGTCTTTCTCCGTCTTTCCCGCGCAAGTTTCCCCTCCCACGACACCCGTCCTGCTCTCCCAAACCCATCCTCCGCTCCTCACCCCACGCCCTCAGCAACCAGCAGCCGGGAAGGTGGCGCGCGGCCGGAAGCGGAAACTACGTCCTCTCCTGCGCGGCGCGTGGAAATTCTGGCTGGAAGGAGGGCGGAAAAAAAAACCAAAAAACCAAAAACAAACCCGAAACAGCTTGGAAACCATAGCAATTCTTTCTGGCTCGAGTTGATTGCTTCTCCAGGCTCCCCACCCCCACGCCCCCGCCAGACTCCCCAAGCCTCCAGCCTGTACTCTACACCTGACAAAGCAAAATACTCGTTGCCTTAAATTCGCCCAAAACAGTTTGCTCGTTTTCTCATGCTTCGGTCTTTGCGAAGGTCAGTGTGATTCCGTACTCCCTGATCCTATCAAATCTGTAATCGATATTTACTTTTTAAAAGATTTTATTTATGTGCTCGCTTCGGCAGCACATATACTTTTTAAAAGATTTTATTTAATTATTCATAAGAGAGAGAGGCAGAGATATAGGCAGAGGGAGAAGCAGGCCTCTCGCAGGGAGCCCGATGTGGGTGGGACTCGATCTCAGGACCCCCAGGATCACTCCCTGAGCCAAAGACACGTGCTCAACAGCTGAGCCACTCAGGTGTCCCTGTAATCGATACTTAAATAATTTCTTTTTCTGGAAGGAAAATCAGAGAAATAGGCAAAGCTTCCTAAACATGCTTCCTGTTTTCTCAAAGGACACAGATTCTTTGAGATCTGCTCTCCGGAAAAAAACAAAAACAAAAACAGCTTTACGCCCCTTATCTGCTTAAAAACTAAGGAAAAGAAACAAAATGAACATACCATGAATTCCCTATAACATTATCTGCCTAGGCATTTCACTACATGAACTGAAATCACTAAATAAATTGGGAAACGCCTGAAGATTTTAGAATTGAAGTTGTTTGTTTGTTTTTGTTTTAAGATTTTGTTCTTAGCAATCTCCACACCCAAGGTGGGGCTGGAACCTACCACCGAGATCAAGAGTCCCATGCTCCACGGACTGAGCTAGCCAGGCATCCTGAATTGAAGACTTTTTTTTATGTCAACTTCTATCCCTTTGCCTCCCAGTGAGACCTAGTGGAAATATCTCCTTTATTTCTTCTTCACTGTGAAAACAGCTTTTCTTTTTTTTTTGTATGTTATTTCTACATATCCATCTCTGGTTTTTCACATAAATTCAGATCTAGCATGTACTGGAAAACAGTAGAGAAAGGCTCAAAAGAAGAAAGGTGCACAAGCAGGTACTTGTGTTATAAGGTAATCCAGGTTCAAAATACTAAAATAGAGCTAGACATCATCATGTTTATTAACAAACTTTGTAAATGCCTACTCTTTGTTTTTCATACCATTCCAGTACCCCTTGGACCACTAGAAGACAATACAGTAGACATTAAAGTTAAGTAGTAAAACAAATTAGCGTATGATAAATACAAAGTAAATTATATAGGCAAAAGGATAATATGGAAAAGCAGTGGATTAGAAGTCGAGAGATCTGATTTCTTTTAATTTTTTAAAAAAGATTTTATTTATTTATTCATGAGAGACAGGGAGGGGCAGAGACATAGGCACAGGGAGAAGAAGGCTCCTCACAAAGAACCAATGTGGGACTCCATCCTGGGACCCCAGGATCATGCCCTGAGCCAAAGGCAGACGCTCAACCACTGAGCCACCCAGCCATCCCAAGAGATCTGATTTCTATCCAAATTCTGATAGTCATAAGTTCTATGTCACTTGAACCAATAGTCTGAAATCTACGGCTTATAAAATCCAGTTCAACCCCTGTTTTTGTAAATAAAACTTTATAGGAGCACAGTTGTGCTCATTTGTTTACATATTAGATATGGCTGTTTTGGGCTACAATGGCAGAGATGGGTAGTTGCGACAGAGATGTACGGCCCACAAAGCCTAAAACACTTACTATCTGAGTCTTGCTGACTCCTAACAAACTCTTAGTCTATTTTCTCGTCTGTAAAATGAGACCAATGTCTGCCCTCAATCACGAAATTTGTCATGGGAATCAACTGGGATAAAATGGAAAATTCTTTTTGAAATAAAAGCAGAGGGAAAGTAACATTTTTGAGAGCCTGCTATATGCCAAACCTTGTATGGGCACTTTATGTGCATGATCTCATTTGATGGAGGAAAGGGCCCAAGACGGCTTATACATCATGTTTAGAGGAAAGAATAATTGGGAGAAGGCCTTGAGTGAGTCTCTTAAAGGTAGGATTTAGTTGACAGATGCAGGAAAGACTGGGCAAGGTGAACAGCATGAAGAAGAGTTCAGAGTTAAAAAGTCTTACAGTGTTCATCAAGGGCAAATGAAAAAGTAAACATAGGGATCAAGTGGGGGAACAGAAGGAGAAACAAAGACTTTGAGAAAAGTCTTTGAACTTCTCAAAGCACTGAGGAGCCACTGAAGGAGTTGAATAGGAAATGACATGCAAAGCACTGTTCTAGGAAAAGTAATCTGGTATCAGTGAGCAGAGATGAGAGGTAAGAGAGACTATTCCTATAGTTAAAGTTCAGACCAAAAATGTGGCAATGAAATGGGTAGGAAGAGGGCAGTTTTAAGTTTAGTTATCTAGAAAAATGATGGTAGCATAGTGTTAACAGAAGAAAAAGAGTATAAAACAGCAGAATAGGACATCTTTAAAGGAAAGATAATATTTTGATTGGTGACCACTGGAAAAAGCACCAGACTGGAAATCCAGAGTTCTGTCCCCATGTTGTGTTGTCTTGCATAAGCCACCTAAGTTTCCTCATCTAAAAAATGAGGAGGAGTGGTGAATGATACCTCTTGGTTCTAAAATGCTGAAATTTTCAACAATATTTAGGTACTAATAACATGTAAATAGAACTGTTCAGCAAAGATATAGACATTCAGTATGTCTTCTAGGGGAGAAATTGGGATTAGAGATGGAGATTCAGAAGTCTTTTTTTAAGATTTTATTTATTTATTCATGAAATACGAGAGAGAGAGAGAGAGAGAGAGAGAGAGAGAGAGAGAGGGGCAGAGGGAGAAGCAGGCTCCATGCAGGGAGCCTGATGTGGGACTCGATCCGGGTCTCCAGGATCACACCCTGGGCCAAAGGTAGGCACCAAACTGCTGAGCCACCCAGGGATTCCCAATTCAGAAGTCTTAAAAGTTGAGGCAATAAAGCCATGAAAGATGAAATTTTTAAGTGAAAGAATATAGTCAGAGAATAAAGGATCAAGGACTAAGCCTAAGGGAATGTCCACACCCTAGATCAGGCTTAAGTGGGACCATTACAAGGTATAGAAGTTGCTGCCAGGAAGGTAAGAGGAGAATTAGGATAGTGGATAGCATGCTGTCATGGGATCCAAGGGAGGAGAGTTTCAGTAGGTAACATCAAGCGTGTCAGATGCTACAGAGAGCATGGAGCACATAGCCTTTGTGCTTGGATCTAGTTATTGATTCGGTGGAAAATATATTAGAATACTTGATACTGGGGTGCCTAGATGGCTCAGTTCATTAAGCATCTGCCTTTAGGTTTGGATTATGAGTCATGATCTTGGGATCCTGGGATCAAGCCCCACATTGGGCTCCCTGCTCAGTAAGCAGTATGCTTCTCCCTCTGGCCCTCCCCACCTGCTTATTTGTATGCTCTCTCTCTCAGATACATAAAATATTTTTTTAATTTTTTAAGATTTGATTTATTCATTTGAGAGGGAGAGAGCACAAGTGGGAGGGGGGCAGAGGCAGAAGCAGACTGCCTACTGAGCAGGGAGCCCCACACAGGGCTTGATCCCTGGCCCCCAAGATCGTGACCTGAGCCACCCAGGTGCCACCCATAAATAAAATCTTAAAAAAAAAAAAGAATACCTAATTTGGTGTGATAATTAGTGACCCTGGAAGGTACAGTAGAATAGTAGCTGCAAGAGGCTAAGGATTGAGTGGTAGAAAAGAGAAAGATTAGACTGTTAAAAATATGAAGATGACAAAAAAGGACAATCAGACTTAAGAGATGTTTTCCAGAAGGGGGAGACCTGATCCGAACTTGTGGGAGGAATAAATACTACTTGTAGGAGATATAAATAAATAAACAATTCAAGAACAACGTGAAGTTACAAGTGATAAGTGATACAGTAAAAGTTCCAGAGGAGAAAGGTAATCAAAAGCACAAATGGAGACGTTTGCCTTAAAAAGGAGGTCATGTGCCTGGGTGGCTAAGTCGGTTAAGTGCCTTTCAGCTCAGGTCATGATCTCAGGGTCCAGGGATCAAGTCCTGATTCTGGGCTCCCTGCTCAGTGGCGAGTCTGCTTCTCTCTCTCCTTCTGCCCCTCTCTCTGCTCATGTGCTCTCTCTCTCTCAAATAAATAAATAAAATCTTAAAAAAAGAAAAGAGGTCATTTTCTCTCTGAAATCAAGAGATAATTATTCCCTGAGAACAGAGTACTTGGGAAATAGGGTAAAGATGTATAACTAGCTGTGAGAAATATGCTAAGTAGCCAATAAACAATAACTAAAATGACCAAGTGGTCTGATACACTGCCAAGGCTTAGGACGGGAGAAGACATGGTTTTGGTGGAAACTGGGATATATGAGTTAGAGTAATATACAGAGAAGGGTATTAGATAAATTCACTGACTTTCATGTTTGCCTCATGATAGCACTGGGTAGCTTTCCTTAGTCTTGCATAGGTTTAGCAGCTGCAGGTTTTTTTCTTTGTTGTTGTTGTTTTAAGATTTATTTATTTATTTTACTTGGGGAGGGGCAGAGAGAGAGAGAATCTCAAGTAGGCTCTGTGACCAGCAAGGGGTTTGATCTTACGACCCTGAGATCATGACCTGACCCAAAATCAAGAGTCTGAGGCTTAAGCCTAATGGACTAGGCCACCCACCCTGGCGCCCCTCCTGCAGCTTTCTGAATAAAGATGTGGCCCAGTGTCTGAGGAGCCTTCCTATTCTGACAGTTCTAGTGCACCCCTTCCTCTTCAAAACTGGCCACCACAGTGGCTGTTCTGGCTCTTCTATTCCTCCTCTGGCTGCAGTAGATTACATATGTATTTATCCACGAGCATCAACAGCTCCCATCAAAGCAAAGAGCTATCCCAGAGCAGAAAAAACCTGCTAGTCTGGGCCAGCTGGAAGACTACAAAAGTGAGAGACACAAAGGGAAAGGTACTAGTCTCTGAAACTAAATGAAAACATAAGCCCAATTCTGAACCCTGTAACCATCCCAAGGGTAGTCCCTAGGAAGCCAGCAGCAGAGTCCCATTTCCTCTTCACAGGACTTCTGTCATCCCATCCAGACTTCTAACTTGCTGGAGATTATTTTCACAAATATTCCTATCCCCTTTGTCTTTTCTGCTGCTGAGAAGCCCAATATTGGTATTTGAAGCAGAAGGTTTCAATTTCCTCCAACCAACAAACTGTTTAGGTATAAAGTTTCTTTAATCAAAAAGGACTTCTCTTCCCTCAACACAAATGTACACATGAAAAGTAAAAAATATATATGAGAGACATACATTTACACAAATTAGAAACCACAGTCTCAAGTCCTGGATTAGGGGTTGAGAGAATGGACCTCAGGAGCAACTGGAGGATGGCTTCTCATTTGCTCTAGATGTCCCATGCTCATCTCTCTGGCCATAGTGGGTAGACCAGGGCCAGACAGGGTACAGCTGCAGTCTGATGGCAGAGTTGCTGGCAAACTGTGGCAATGAGGTCCCTCTCTAGAGAGTTTCTTAGGATCAACAGGGATGACAGGAGACGCTGTGGTGGGCGGAACTGGAGTGGTTGGGGCAGAATGGGTGAAAGGCTGCATTCCATGCTGGACAAAAAGGATGACACCAATGCTGGCTCCAGTGCCTAAAGGACCATGGCTAAAGGAAATGGTACCTGGGGAACTGAGGGGAGGGTTGCAGATTGGAGTGGTGTGGATCCAAGTAAGGTGCATAGTTGGCCATTCAGTGAAGTGCCAAGGCTGCTTTGGTTTAAACAGCAGATGTCCTAACTGTGTCTTGTTCATCTTTTCCAGGGGAGGTGCAGGAGAGGAAGCAGCTGAGTAACTGTGGGGGCTTGGAAAATGCTAGAAGGAGGAGATGAGAGAAAAAAAATATGTGAGAGAGCTTTCAGATTAACTCCACTTGGTTGCTTAAAACTTTTCTTTCCTCGGGGACTCTGTTTGTAATGCAAACATACCTAGTCTTATGCAACAGATCATTTCCTGCCAGGCCAAGATCAAATAAAACTTTTAGTAGCCTAATTATACTTTCATTTACTTAACAAATACTTGAAGGCCAATTATGTACCACACGCTAAGTTAGGCACCGGACATCCAGACAGGCAAAATAAAACAAACAGTCCCATAGGTTCTATTTATAAAACAATTCATTTTAGAACTTTTTTAAAAGTCTGTTTTTAACTGGGATCATCATTTCCCAGTTTCTGTTATTTATTTATATTTATTTATTCATTCATTCATTCATTCATTCATTCAATTTCTGTATTTTAAATTCTAATTTCCCTTTGTTGAGTTTCTTAAGAAACGTAAATAAATATATAGGCAAAATCCTCCTGCTTATGTTTAAATGAGTTATTCCCACACCAATAATAACTGTGGTTGATTGAAAATAAGAAGGGCTATCCATTATCTATAGAAAACTTTACCCTCCCCATCATTTGAGTACCCTCATAAATACCCTATTATTTGAAGGCACGAAAAATAGGTCACTTCCACATTAGGTCTAAGAATCTATCCAACACTCCTTCCATGGGTGTCCTATGGGTGCCCTCCTCCCCCTCTCTCTTGAAACCCACACTTCCAGAGGATTTGGTACAAGGATGCTTGGGTAGGAGTAAAAAGAGGGAAAAGGAAAAAGTTTTATGGCAACAGAGGAAAAAGGAGTTGTAGAGGAAAGCTAAGGACTCTTCCTGCATGACTCATTTGTTCAGGTAAAAAAGCCTTCTGTATCTATGCAGAAAGCAGATAAGCTACAACATGAGGGATAGGGTTAAATTTCATGGAGTTCTTAGTAGTGATCAGAACAAAATAGAATGGGGACGCCTGGGTGGCTCAGGGGTTTAGTGCCTGCCTTCAGTCCAGGGTGTGATCCTGGAGTGCCAGGATTGAGTCCCACATCGGGCTCCCTGCACGGAACCTGCTTCTCCCTCTGCCTGTGTCTGTGCCTCTCTCTCTGTGTGTGTGTCTCTCATGAATAAATAAATGAATAAAAATTTTTAAATAACAAAATAGAACAAAAATCATACATGAATCAAGACAATGAGGAAGGTTAGGGGACGCCTGGGTGGCTCAGCAGTTGGGTGTCTGCCTTTGGTTCAGTACGTGATCCCAGAGTCCCAGGATTGAGTCTCACATCCGGTTCCCTGCGAGGAGCCTGCTTCTCCCTCTGCCTGTCTCTGCCTCTGTGTCTCTCATGAATAAATAAACAAAATCTTAAAAAAAAAAATGAGGAAGGTTAGGCATTTCCTCCCCTGAAAAGAAACCTGTTTTGAAAAAGATGAAAAGACTCAGAAGAAAACAGAAGAAGGATTTCTGCATGTACACTTCATTTCCTCATTACCCCATTTCTCCCTCAGGTTTGTATGTTCTTACCTTGGTCAGCTGGTGCCTGCTACTACTCAATGATGACTTCTGGGCAGCTATATGAGGAAACCAAGTCTTTAACATCCCTTCTACCTGTAGCAAGGTTCCTAGATAACGCTCCCTGTGGAAAAATTTTTTTTTTCTTTAAAAAGCCATTAAGTGTGAAAAAAGCAACAAAACAGGATTGTAGATATCTCCTTTTTTTATGAAGTACTGAGGAAAGAACCAGGGGGGAACTTACCCCATTTGTGGCTTCTGCAAAATACCTACAATACGCTGGATTCTGTCCATTGCCACACTCTGCTGGAAACTGCTCAATCCTGGGATTAGGGAGAGAGAAAAACATCAAAGGTTGAGATTCAAGAATTTCGTCAGGTAAAGGAAGGACAAAACAGGGTTAAAATAGATTCAGCTAAAGAAATTAAATCACAGAAGCACAAAAGGAATAATGTAGGCTACAGAGATTTAAGAGAAATAACACATTTAAAACATTGAGAGAAAGAGATTAATCTAGCCCAAATAAGTGCAATTTATTAGATAATCACCTCTCTCAAATCGACCCATCTTCAGCCCATTCAGTAGGTCTGTGAGAGGACGGATAAATCCTTGGAGCTCTTTACACTGTAGGAAAACCGGACAAAGGCTATGAGAGGACTCACAGAATTGTCCACACAGTACTGTTCTTCCCCACCTCCACAGCCCAAAACCAACATTGTCTTCATAGGGTCCTTACTCATCAGCTGGGTGCTAAGCCATTCCAGTATTGTCTCCTTTCCCCTGCCTTTTCTTACCTTCTGAGCAAAGAGCCGGTCTCCTTCTGTGGTACAACCTTGGATGTTTACGTTGGTCTGTAATTCACCATCTCTTGATTTTTTGACCCCAGATCCCACCATAAGAGAGGCCAAGCCCCGCTGTTCCAGGTGAGATGCTGTATGTTGGTTGCTGGAAACCTTGGTTCGTTGCCTGCAGCGGATAGGCCCCGGGCTGGGCCGAGAACCTCCCCTCTGCCCAGCAGGATCTGACCTGGGGCCATGGGTCCCCTTGTCCTCCCCCTCGCTATCTGACGGGAGGCCAAAGTCACTGTTCACTGGGGAGGTGGAAAGACAGGAAGACAGAGAGTAGGAAGAACAGGAGTAATCGCTAGCTGGAGAATCCATAGGTTCAGAAGCAGGAGCTTAACAACTCCCGGAGTACCCAAAGATCGGAACCTGCAAGTGAAGAGCAAAGCCAGGAATCTGTAACCATCATCTGAAAATGAGAAAATAGACTGGGGGATTGGGGTGTACTGGATAATACCTCCTCTCTCCTCCCCAGCATTACATGTCTCCGAGACAATAGAAAAAGTCACCTCCTCTGCCTGCCCCGCTCAGCTAAGAACCTGAACTGCCCCTCTGGCCTCCGCAGGGCAGCTTCTTTATCTGACACAAGACTGTTCTTTCCTCCCCTCCGTTCAGAGTAAATTACCTGACTTGACACCTTCCCGCGACAGTTGTTCACCAGATCTGCTCCCAGCCTAACCCCTGCAGCGAGGGCTACCAGTGAGCGCACCTAGTGACCCTGTAGGGAACTCTCCCCACGGTAACCCCACGCCCCTTCCCAATCTCTCTGAACCGGATCCCAGCGCCGGGACCCTCCACAGTCGCGCCTGCCACGTGAGGCTATTCCTCCCAATACCAAGCTCCGCTTTCGGTCCCGAAACCTACTCCCTCGGGTCTGATCCTCAGGCGCAGAACGCTCCCTCAGCCCACCAGCCTCCGCACCTGTACCGGTCCGCCACCTGGCTGTCTCCCGCTCCTTCTCCAACTCCGCGAGTCAGGGCTGCCCACCTCTGCCTCTCCCCCACTGGTCCCGCCCCTTCCCCCCTCCCAGACACGTGCGGCTGGGCACGTGCCTTCCCCCTGCGTACACAGACCTCGCGGCCTCATTGGTTGGCTAGTCGGCGGCGCGTGACGCATGTTCCCCAAGTTCGCATCCCATTTGCTACAGCCTCCAGGGGCTCGGCCAATAGAGACACAGCTAGGTGACGATTGGCTGGAAGGGAAGCATTCCGTGCCCCGCCCCTACATGCAGCTCGCGAGCAGGACCCGGTGAGGAGAAAAGGAGGAGGATGGTTAAGAGTGGAAAGGGCGGAGCCCGTGGCCTTAAATAGGATGGTGGTGGGCAGGAGACGTGCAGTTACTGTGTGCAGACTGGTTGTGTGCTGGGAGGCGCGCGTGTTGGGATGTGGGAGTAGGACTCCAGCTCCCCCTCGGTAGCAGATCCACCCCCCCCCCGCCCCTCCGGTCCCGTCCCCCCTCCCGGTTGAGCGCCTCCTCTCACGAGGGCCGCACGTGGAAGCCGTCGGCGACTTGGGTGTGCAACGTGCGAGAGAACGGATGGACGCCCCTGTGTATCCTCTTGTCTCTCGGCCGCCCCCGGGGCCCTCGTGACCCGCAGGTCCGCGCTTCACCGTCTCCGCCTCCGCCTCTTCCAGGCTGGCTGCCTCCTGCCCTGCAGGGTGGGAACTGCCGCCGAGAACACCGCGTCCTCTCGCGCACTCCCACGGGGGTGGCTCCTCCGGCCCTTTCCTTACATAACCCGCCGCGCACGTTACCAGCTCGGATACCAGCCAGCCACGACTCCAGAGGTCAAAGCCCAGCTCGCTCGTCCCTGACTTGCCTATGCGGGCTTCTCTGGCCCTGCGCAGGGAACGGAGCCTGGGTAGGTTCCTGATTTCCTAGATTAGACCTTTGTCCGGCTTCATTTCTTTACGTGTTCCCTGGAGAAGATTCGAAAGACCCGGAAGGAGGGAAGGTGCGCGTCCGTAGTTGACCAAGTCTGGAATTTACTACTTGGTGCTTCTCGCAGGCCTGGAAGTACAATGCCGCGAAGGGGACGGGGGCTCAGGGACGACAGGCCGATTGAGGCTGTGACACCGAGGAGACCGCAAGGGGGCAGCCCCGTTCTGATTAGGGTCTCGAGGACGGAGAAAGAATTAAAGTGTGTCCCTGCCTGCCCTAATTAGAGCTGGAAAAGGCACATTGTTGGGGGTTGGGGGTGTAAGTGGAGGAGGGTGTGATTTTTAAAATCTATTCTAAGTAGTTTTTAATATTTTACGTATGTTTAACAATGTGCTTATTTTATAAAAAGAAAAAAGTGTTCTACATAAACCTCAACTCTCTTTTCCCAAACACGCGGTCTCAACATGTGTAATAAAGTAATAGCATTAGATGAAATTAACTGTCTGTTGGTGCTCTTCTCCATTCTTCACATTTCAGGTTTATTCACAGTCCTAATTAGTCCCTCTAATTCTACTGCTATCTCACTCCCCCTCCCCCCTTTTTTAAAGATTTTATTTACTTATTCATGAGAGACAGAAAGAGGCAGAGACACAGGCAGAGGGAGAAGCAGGCCCCATGCAGAGAGCCCGGGACTCAATCCCAAGACTCCAGGATCAAGCCCTGAGCCAAAGGCAGGGCCCTTAAACCACTGAGCCCCCAGGGATCCCCTATCTCACTCCCTTTCTAATCTACCCTTCCTATCCCCATATCCTGGTGCTCTCTTTAGTGTTGTGAGATTAGAACAGACCCTCATGAAGGAGTAGAGAGTAGCCAAATTATTTCATTTATTTATCTTCCAATTTCCTCTTCCCAAATCCCCATCCAAAGAGTTGTAGCAGCCTTCGTCCTAAAAAAAGCAAAGAAAGGGAAAAACACCAGGCTCAGGTGGCTTAGGAAGTCCCTGAAGCAACCCCCCCCCTACCGCCCCCAGCCTCTGTGAAAACTCCCCAGATTTCATATTCTGGGCTAGATTTCCCCCATGGGATCTCCTGGAAGATGTATCCCCTCCCCCTCCTCAGTCCTTCCTCTGATAAATTTCTTCACCGCTCTCCATAGTTATTTAGAATCCCAGTTTTAAAATTCCTTTCCTATAGCACAGGCTTCTCTCCCCTCCTTGCCTCCATCATCTCTCCTCTACTTGGTAGGGAACCAACCACCACCCCTTCTGCCTCTGAACTTTGGCTCTTGACTTTGCCAAGTTGTAGGGCTCCTCCCATTATGCCCTCTGGCAACTGCCATATCTTAAGCCACCTCCAGGCTGGAACCAGCTTTGATTCTTCAAGGCAGACTGGAAATGGGGAGGTCGGCTTCTACTGCAGGAGGTCCTGAAATCCTCCCAGTTCAGAAAAAGTAATGACTCTTGTTCAAAAAGTCTTTGCCTCAACATCTCCTAAACCTTAAAATTAGATAAGATCATTCTAAGTGGGATCCCTCATCCTTCAAGCAGCTAAGACTTGACCAGGCTGGAAACATTAGCCAGAGATATTTGTAAAAAATGACTTCACTGACTTCCCCAAGGCCAGTGGCTGCACTCTCACCTTCTACATGAAATACATCCCCCCCTGAACGAGGGCCCAGGACAGGAGGAGGGGAACAGGACTCTGCAGACTGGATACAGCATCGTTCAGATCTGGACTCTGCTAAAATACAGACATCCCCCCATGGTAGGGCAGTGTCATCCTTCCTACCATCCCTCCTCCCCCTGTGGAAGGATGGCCATCTTTTGACACCAACCTCAGTCTTCCTTTCTTCTGAGTTTACAGAAAGATCCAGCTCTCCTCCCCATAACGATGAGGAATTCTTTCCTCTGTGCCTTCAGCCTCCTGACCATACCAGGGAGGCTCAACACAATTCACTGATGTGTATTTTTTATCTGTTATTTGCATGACACTATGCTTAGTCACTGTGCTAGGTGCTACAGCGGGATAGAAATGTGACTAAGACATGGCTCCTTTCTTCAAAGAGTTTACAATTTAAATGTAGCCTACTATATACCTTAAAATATTTGCCTGTCCTTGTCATCAAGCACCAACTTTCCATTCCTACCAACTCCTCTCCTCTGTTTTCAACTATGTTCAGGCTACCCTTTGGTCCTGTTGCCCTTTCTGGCTGTTGCTTCTCTTTTTTTCATTACCAGATTCCTCAAGCGATTGGTCTATACTTTCCCTCCCTTCTTAAGAAGGTACTTCCTGGGACGCCTGGATGGCTCAGCAGTTGAGCGTCTGCCTTCGGCTCGGGCCCTGATCCAGGGATCCTGGATTGAGTCCGGCATCAGGTTCCTTGTGGGCATCAGGTTCCTTGTGGGGAGCCTGCTTCTGTCTCTGCCTCTCTCTTTCTCTGTGTCTCTCATGAATAAATAAAATCTTTAAAAAACAAAAACAAACAACAACAAAAAAAACAATGTACTTCCTCTCTAATTCCACAAAAACCTACCTTTTGCTCAACTCAATTAAAACTTCTTTCTTTGGAGCTACCAATGACCTCCTTTTCTTTGGCCTCTTGGTAGCTTCTTATTGATTATATTAAACTTCATCTTCTAGATTCTATAATACAGACTTGGCTATTTGCCAACCTCTTCAAACAATTCTCCATTTTCTTGGTTTATTCCTCTTCCTCCTCCTTCTCCCAAGTACAGGCACAGTCATTGGCCTTTTGGTCTCCTGTGTACTGGCTCTACTGAGCTTGTCTACTTTTGTAACTGTGACTTTGCACTTCGAACTGTAGCTCTGATCGAGTTCAGCTACCTTTAGGACACCCTCATAGGGTTGTCACCATAAATTCAGCTTGGCCAATACCTAAATTGTAACTTCAGTCCTAAACTGCTCTGACCTTCCACAGTTCCCATTTTGGTCAGCCATTTACCCAGACGTCCATATTCAAATGTGTAAGTTATTTCAAATCTCCCCTCATTTATTGCCCACCGCATTTCTTCAAAATCTTTTTTTTGTTTTTGTTTTTTTTTTTTAAGATTTTATTTATTTATTCATGAGAAACTCAGAGAGAGGCAGAGACGTGAGACTCAATCCCAATACCCCGGGATCACAAGCTGAGCCAAAGGCTCAACCATTGGGCCACCCAGGCACTCAAAATCTTTCTTATTTTTCTCCTCTCCATTCAAAACGCTACTTCACTAGTCCAAGCCTTTAATGGTTGTTTCTGGAATGATATACGTCTCATGCATCTCTCTCCACTTCATTGCATCTTGCATACAACCAAATAGTTCTTCTAAATTACCACTTTCACTGTATCTTTACCACACTGGAGAATTTACTAGGCTCCCCATTGCTTATATGTCCAGTCTTTAGCCCGACATTTCAGATTCTCTTGTAATTCAGCCCTATTTTCCCTTACCTATGTGAAATTACCAAGCAAATATTAAGAGCCTTGTAGATTTTAATTTTTTTCTTAATTTCCCACTGTTCTTTCCCATCTACCTTCTCCTTCAATCATATCCTATCCACTAAACAGGCCATGCTTGTTCCATCTCCTCACCAATGCAGCTCTTTCAACTTCCATTCTTTCTTCTAATTGTTTTCATATGTTCATAACTTACTACCAATCAAAAGCTCACCTATCTTTCAAAGTGTATCTCAAACACAGTCATCTAAAAGTCTCCCATGTAACTCCAGCATATACTGATCTCCGTCCTTCCACTGACTAAAAACTTGCCTATGTCATATGCTCTCAATTTATATGTAACTGAACATTGTTATGAACCTTTTTCATTTTGTTCTGTTTTGTAAGTGAGTTTTATACATACTTTGAGGGCAATAACAACATCATAGATTTCTTCTTCATCATCATCAGCATCCTTCACAGCTTTAGTCATAGGTTACATAAACATTTAAGTATTATTGAACTGAAATTTAACTGCACCAAATCTTCCCAGGTTTCTGAACACAAGGTTAGTATGAAATCTCAATGGAGGGGCTCCTGGGTGGGCCAGTCAGTTAAGTGGTGGGCTTTTGGTTTCAACTCAGATCTCAGGGTTCTGGGATCTAGCCTCATGTCAGGCTCCACACTCAGTGGGGAATCTGCTTGAGGATTCTCTCTTTCCTGCTCCCTCTGCCCTTCCCCTGCTCTGTCTCTCTCTCTTTCTCTCTCTCAAATAAATAAATAAATAAATAAATAAATAAATAAATCTTTTTAAAAAATCTCAAAGGCATGATTGCTAAGCTGAGCTCGACACCTGCTTTGCTGTATTAGTTATCTGGTTCCTTCTTCCACCAAAGCCTCCCTCTGTTCTGTCTCCAGCCCTGGGATCTGCCCCACCCCACTACCCACCCCACCATCCCCAATCCACTCACTGGTTCCACTGTCATTGGTTTCAATGTTTCAGGCTTCTGAGGGTCTGCACCTTCTGTTTCATGACTAATGGTAGTCTCTGCTGCTTCCCTTACCTCTTTATCCAACCTGTTCTGCCCTCAGTAGGATCAAGAAACACAGAGTTATCATTGCTTCCATCCAACATCCTCAGAGATTATTTAGAATCCCTCTCTCCTGCACCCCCACCCCCCAAAACCTAAGCTCAGGAATCCTCCCTACTTTATGTTTGCATGGATTATGTACCCATCCCATTCACCAATTCCCTTGACTCCAGGACTGCCCCTCCCTCTCAATGTCTTAACAAACCTACTGAGTTCTGGCTTTATTCTTTTCCTCAGCTGTGGTTAACAAGGCTGCTTTGGGCCTACTTCCCAGTTTCATTTCACCTAATTGATTTTTATTTCTGCTAATTATTTACATTTCAACATTGCCCAGTTTCTTTTTAACTGTTACCTATCCTGACCCCCTTAGATGTAGAGGTTGCTCACCAGTCTGTCCTCAGATTCAAACATGGAGTAATCAACAGTGAAATTTGCACCAAAGTCATCTGGGAAGGAGAAAAAAAAATAGTAATGACAAATGAAAAAGGTAGCAGTAGGTCTAGAAATGGAGAGAGGAAGAAATTGCTCAGGATACCTTTAACTTGCTCAAGTTGTAAAATCTACTGGTGTAATCTAATTCTTATGAACTTTAATGTTAAAGAGGCACCTGGGTGGCTCAGTAGGTTAAGCATCTGCCCTTGGCTCAGGTCCTGGGATCAGGTACCACATCCAGCTCCCTGCTGAGTGGGGAATCTGTTTCTCCCCTTCCCTCTCCCCCTCTCCCCCCACTCATGTTCTTGCTCTGCTTTTTCTCCCAAATAAACAATCTTTAAAAATATGTTTGTAAATGTATTTGCATTTATATTTTCTGCATTTATATTTTCAACCTGATAGCTAAAATAGTTTACAAATATGAAAATCTTCAAATTGTTTCAACCAGTTTCCAGAGAATTGAAAATCACTAGCTTGAGAAATAACATCATGAGCCTTGAAAAGCTCTTTGCTCATAGCCAAATTTCTCCCTGATCTAGTTGTTGCAATTGCATAGAGAAAGGGAAAGTCTCAGAACTAAGTATCCCCCAAACCTCTGCCCATCCTGTTCCGGGTCAGAGCCTTATACATACCATAATTGGGGGTGACTGTATAATAATAGACCACCTGATAATAATCATCTTCTTCTAGTCCTTCTCCATCCTCATATTCTTGTCCTGCGGGGACAAGGACTAGAGAAGTCAAGGGGTATTTGGAACTCCTTAGCAAGAGAAGGACACCTGAAGTTGACCTCAGCTCTATCAATTTCTTTTCTCTCTGCCTCCCCTCCAAGGGTCTTACTATCTCATTGCCGTGTACCTCTAAACCCTTCTCAGTCTTTGGAGCTCCGTATCTGTGATGAGGCCTGTTATTCCATGCCCTTTCAATTCGGGAACTCCTAGAGAGAAAACGGGTCCCTTCACATTCTGTAAACTCAAAATGAGAGCTAAAGTTAATAAGCAGAGATGCCAGAAATGAAGAACTCCAAATCACCTCTCTAGCATTCCGCAGACTGTATTGATTTCTCTTCTCAGTGGCTCTCGCACCCAACACAAACACACATCCTTAGGATTTTAGACTTTAGTTCCAATCCACTGCTAACTAGCAGAATAACCCTGAAGAAGCCACTTAACATCCGCTCTCTCAAAATGAGTCAGCTGGACCAAATGACCCATCTACATTAGTTTTTCTTCCTTCCCAGGACTAAAAATATGTGACTTTGACATGATTAGATCAAGGACTCCAGGCCTCCTACTAAACACATCCGTAAGCTCCTTGAATGCTCTCCCCAAACCCCAGGCAATGACACACAAATCTGGAGGAAAAGGAAACAATGAGAGTACCTGACAGACTGGGAACAAAGGAGGGAAGGAGCCAAGCTACTTTTGGGACTCTCTCCCAGAGGGAAGCCAGTCCTCCACTACTCTAAAGGCCACCCCCCATTTCTGTTTCCTTACTAATATAATGGTTTTTCTCCAACCTTCTGGAAAAGGAGATCCCCGGGCTTATCTCACTATTTTCAGACTGCCCCACCTTTCAAGAGCCTCACCTCTCTCCTTCACCCTGTCAGTAGTCCCTTTCCATCTTGTTCAACATTGGTGATGGAGAGCTGAAGTGATTCTTGTTAGGACCCCCATGTGTCTGGGGCTCCATCCACTGTCAGCTGTCTCTTCTTTCCTCCCCTTCTCTTGGCTCTACTTCCCAGATCTCTCCCTCTCGCCCTGATACTGGACTCTGGCACAGATCAGTGTATCACTCCCCATTAAATTGCACCTCTCACTCTCTCTTCATTTTTCTTTTCTCTCACCGCACTTATGATAAAAGACCTGGCCAAAAAAAGCTCAGGGAAAGAAGTAAGCTTACCCAGGATAAGTGGCACGGCAAGGATGGCTACGAAGAGGACATCCATTCCGGATTCTGCACTATTGCTGTGAAAGTAAAAAAGGAAATTACAGCATTTCTTACCAAACTTACCCCGCCTCCCGCCCTCCTCCAAAGCTGCTGCAACTCTTCTCCCAGGGGGTAGAATTCCCCACCCACTTGCTGACTGTCTAGATCTTCAGTTTACTACTGGTCAGCCAAAGCTGCCCAAATTAAGAGAGGCAAAGTAGGTTTTGATGCGAATGTGTTCACTGAGCTCCCCCAGCCCTAGACTAGATCCAGTTCAGATTAGATCCGATGCCACCACCAAAACAAACAAACAAACAAACAAACAAACAAGCAAAGAGTCAAACCAAAATAAAAAACCCTCAGCCTACCCAGGAGCCTCCCCCCCTCCTCCCCTCCTTCCGTCCTAAGGTCTCACAAAAAGCTCACCCTCTTTCTCACTGTTCCTAGCTGAACACCACCAAGCGGACTTGAAGCATATTTACAATCGCTTTCTTCACAGTCAAAATGTTCTGAGGAAGGGATGAGCATTTTTTTCTAGACGGAAAAAAACCACCCTCTCCTCTGCCTATCTTGGACTATGAAGTACAGGAGCAATGTCAACATCATTGTCTGATACTCAAAGCGCTTGAGGCATTACTTCTGATAAAAATCTCTCAGCCGAAGCTAGTTTATTTCCTTTCTGGTAAGTACCCAACTCACTTCATTTCTTTCTCTACTTTCTGGTTACAGGATGGAAGAAGGGAGGAAGCAGCCTCTCCTCCTGTGTAGATGCCACCCCCTTCTCCCACTTTCAGCCACTTGGTATGCTCCCTTCATTCTAGCCCACAAGGATAGATTTCATCTCACCCTTCTTTCTGCTTTTATATTTCCCATTTTCATTTAATCCAACTCAGAAGCATTTAGTAATGTATATGCTAGGCCTACTCTGATAAGCAATTCAGGGTTCACAGGTAAGAGAATAAGAATAGTTATGTTTTGGGACACCTGAGTGGCTCAGCGGTTGAGCGTAGGCTCAGGGCAGGATCCCGGAATGCGGGATGTCCCATGTCCCTGCCCATGTCCCTGCCAACCCCCCAATCGGGGTCTCTGCAGGGAGCCTGCTTCTCCTTCTGTTTTTGTCTCTGTCTCTCTCTCCCTGCGTGTGTGTGTCTCTCATGAAAAAATAAATAAATTTTTAAAAAGAGAATAGTTATGTTTTTAAAAAGGAAGTTAGTAAACATCTACTTAATGTCTACTAAGAGCCAGGCACTATGAGAGTCCCTGTGGAACCACTTGCGGACAAGACACATTTGGAGCCTCCTCCTAGCAGTCAGAAGATGCTGCGGTAATGGCTCAAAGGAGAAATGAGAAGACTTGTTATACTCCTATTTCTTCCCCTGACTCGGCCTGCTAGGCTCAGAAGCAAGACACACTGGAGTTTTGAGCACTGGCCAGGATGTTTTCACCCTCTCAACCTTTTGAGGGGGAGGATTTGCTTGGTGATGGTGATATTCCATGTAAATCTATACAATCTATGCCTCCAGGTCCTTTTGAGAATTTCCTGGGGAAAAAAGTAAAACGCTTGTGTGGATGTGCCTGTATGCATTAAGTAATAAATTGCTTCCAGGACGGAAAGGAAGCTGGTTCTCTTTGAACAATTTCTATAGTTTTTTGGTACTTCGATTAATCTCTCAAAAACAGTATTCCAGATTTCCTTACTTCACCATCCTGGTACTCTTTTACCTAAACATCCTCTCTAAAGACTGACCCTACCCCCATCCAAATGAGGTTACAATACCCTCCTCTCCTACTTTAATTTCCTCTCACTGTAATACCCACAACCTCTGTGCCTTCCCCCAGCCTGAGGAAAAGACACCACCGAGGTTCATTTTCAGAAAATAAATGGAGGAAGTATGACCTAAAAGGAACTGCGACTTGGCTGGTGTGTGTGCTTGTGTGTGTGATTTTCCTTCAACCCCATAGCTGGAATTGCTTTTTACCAACAGTCTTAACTTTCAGTCTTAACACTGAATCCCATGTAACCTCTTTCCTAACACTGCTGTCCAGGCTCCTCGTTTCTCTGACTCTCTAGTCATGGCAGATGAAGGCTTCATTAGGGGTGACACTCGCTGAAGTGCATATTTCCTATACTAGCCTGTTGAAAGAGCTCTTACTTTTAAGTCTAACCTTCACGTCTTAGGCAGTAGCTCTAGCTCATTTCCTGTCATTCAAGTAAGAACAATACGCGTCCCTATCTCCCTGTACCTTCTATCCTGTGCTTTCTGTGTATTCGTTCTTTAGAGGTTCCAACAGGATCTTCCCCGCCCCCCACCCCCTGCAGCTCTTCAAGAAGACGTAGAATTGCTACCACCCTTCCCCCACAAAATCACGAAAGGGAACGGCAGCCAAGGTCCAACGGGACCCAGAAACCCCGGCCTGGCCCGATGCGCTCCCTTCTTTGACGGTTCGAGCCACTCCCAGAACCCAGATCCGAGGCTAGGGAGGGCAGAAGGACTACAACTCCCAGCAGGTAGTACTGCCACGCCCCCTCCGCTCCGCCCCCGCCGGCTCGCCATTGGCTTTCGGGATTGGATGGGAGGTGGCCATGGGGCTGCGGCTGGGATTTGTTCCCTCCTCGGCTTCCGTAGAGGAAGTCGCGCAGACTTGTATCTGGGGTTTGGGTGTCCCCCTCCCCTTCCCCGGGGTCCGGGGGTGACATTGCACCGCGCCCCTCACGGGGTCGCGCCGCCACCCCAAGCGGACTCCCTAGCTGGCGTGCTTCCCCGCTCCACCCCTCTCGGCTAGGCTTCCACCCTGCCCCCAGCTGCTCAGCCATGGGGGCCGCAGTGTTTTTCGGATGCACTTTCGTCGCTTTCGGCCCGGCCTTTGCGCTTTTCTTGATCACTGTGGCTGGGGACCCTCTTCGCGTCATCATCTTGGTTGCGGGGTGAGTAGGGGGTCGACAAGACGCGGGAGGGCGCCAGAGAGAGATCCGGAAGGGGCCGGGCGAGCTTGGGAGCCTGAATTGGAGGAGACCAGTCGGAGGTGCAGATTGGAAAGGATCGAGTCAGGGGTCTAGATGATTTGCCTTTTCCCGCAGTTGGTTTCCGCCTTCCAGGGATCGCACAGATTCCTCCTCTTCTCCCGGCGACGTCAGAGGAGGCCCAAGGCCAAGACTTATGAGGGGGGTGTGCTGACCTCCGCCGGCCTAAGAGAGGATCCAGGAATGGACACCTCTCACCACTGTGCGCGTACATTCTGACTTTCATCGTTCTGAAGACTCATTAATCAGATTTCTAGCCCTTCCCCTGCGCTCAGATCCCTAAATGACTCCCGCGGTGGAGACACCGAGACTATCTCCTCCCAGTCTCCCTGACCATCCGGAAGTCTAACTTACACTTTCCATGCTGCAGCCTTGATTGGTTCTCCTCCTTGATTTCTCTGGTTCTCCCTACCCTGGCCTGTCTGATTGCCCTTGTCTCTCCTCAGGGCATTTTTCTGGCTGGTCTCCTTGCTCTTGGCCTCTGTGGTCTGGTTCATCTTGGTCCATGTGACCGACCGGTCAGATGCCCGCCTCCAGTATGGCCTCCTGATTTTTGGTGCTGCGGTCTCTGTCCTTCTACAGGAGGTGTTCCGCTTTGCCTACTACAAGCTGCTTAAGTAAGAAGATGGGATGGTTCAGAGGGGAGAAGGGCAGAGGACTGCATTATGAGAAGTGGGGCAGCCCCTGGGTGGTGGTTTGGAAGAGGAGGCACTAAGGGAGGACTTAAGAGGGAAAGGAGCATTTCTGCCCTCCCTCATATTTCCCCTACCCCACCTCACCCCACCCACCCCAGGAAGGCAGATGAGGGGTTAGCATCGCTGAGTGAGGACGGAAGATCACCCATCTCCATCCGCCAGATGGCCTATGGTGAGCCAAGGGAGAGGGACTGGAGGAGGGAGCTGGACACCCCCTTTTCCTAGGGAAGTCAAAAACACCCACATGTTCTAAGTGGCTGCTTTTCCTTCATATCTGACTTCCAAGGAGAGGTGGTCTGGAGGGAGAGTAGGTGTGGGGGAATTGTGACTGGGAATGGGGCGGCATCACTGGTAATCAGGCTATAGTAATCTCTGACATTGATGAGACCCTCCTTCCCCCCAGTTTCTGGTCTTTCCTTCGGTATCATCAGTGGTGTCTTCTCTGTTATCAATATTTTGGCTGATGCACTTGGGCCAGGTGTGGTTGGCATCCACGGAGACTCACCCTATTACTTCCTGACTTCAGGTAAGGTCTGCATTCTGTCTTGCCTTCATGCCCCATCTATCCCTGGCCCTCTCTTATTTATTGGCCTTCTCTGGGAGACTTCTTTGGCTCAACATCTCAGGAGGCTGGGAGAAGATGAGGGATGTATCTCATCCCCATCTCCCTCCCTGCAGCCTTTCTGACAGCAGCCATTATCCTGCTCCATACCTTTTGGGGAGTTGTGTTCTTTGATGCCTGTGAAAGGAGACGGTACTGGGCTTTGGGCCTGGTGGTTGGGAGTCACCTACTGACATCAGGACTGGTGAGTTTGGGACAGGGGCCCGAGTTAGAGAGAAAAAAAAATTTAATGGTGAGTGGGATGGAGGGGAGATATATTCTTACTTCTTAACATTTTCAAACATGCCTAGGGAGGAGGCAGACAGGTAAGTGTTTAGAAGTCTCTCACCTCTGCATCAATTGTATAACCTACTGTGGGGATGCTCTGGGAGGAGTTTGAATGGATTGGGCAAACTGTAATACAAATGGCCTGAGGTGAACAGGAGGGGCAGAAACCTCTGAGGGAGCTGAAAAATCAAAAGTCCTCTTAACCACAAGATGTTGGTGCCTTGAAGGGAAGGACTGGGGGATTTGAGTGAGTCACCCGAGGGGAGGTTTGGGTCAAAGGCATGAAGAGAATGCTGGGATTAGATAGAGGGAGAAGCTAACCTCTTTTCTACTCTAACCCCATCCTTAGACATTTCTGAACCCCTGGTATGAGGCCAGCTTGCTGCCCATCTATGCAGTCACGGTTTCCATGGGGCTCTGGGCCTTCATCACAGCTGGAGGTTCCTTCCGAAGTATCCAACGCAGCCTCTCGTGTAAGGACTGACTACCTGGACTGATCGCCTGACAGATCCCACCTGCCTTCCCACTGCCCATGACTGAGCCCAGCCCTAGCCCAGGTCCATTGCCCACCATTCTGTCTCCTCGTCGGTCTATCCCACCACCTTCAGGGTTTTGCTTTGTCCACTGGTGACCTTTAGTCTCTAGGCTTTACCAGGAGCAGCCTGGGTTCAGCCAGTCAGTGACTGGTGGGTTTGAATCTTACTGATCCCCACCATCTGGGGACCCCCTTGTTGTCCAGGACTCCCCATGTGTCAGTGCTCTGCTCTCACCCTGCGCAAGACTCACCCCCCTTCCCCTCTGCAGGCCGACGGCAGGAGGACAGTCGGGTGATGGTGTATTCTGCCCTGCGCATCCCACCCGAGGACTGAGGGAACGTGGGGGGGAACCCCTAGGCCTGGGGTGCCCTCCTGATCTCCTCGCCCTGTATTTCTCCACCTCCAGTTCTGGACAGTGCAGGTTGCCAAGGAAAGGGACCTAGCTTACCTGTTGCTGTGGAGATGAAATTAGTGGAGGCTCAAGGGTAGACGAGCTCTCAGTTTCCCAAGTACCTCCTCCCCAGACTGGGCATCTTGGTCTTTTTCTCAGGTCTGAGGGGAACCATTTTTGGTGTGATAAAGACCCCAAACTGCCTTTTTTTTTTTTTTTTTTTTTTGAGTAGGGGGCAGGGAAGGGAGGAGGTGTGTTGGAATTCTCCTACCCTCCTTGAACTATATTTTCCTTCCTCAAATTGCTCCTCCTGGCGGGGCTTAGATCTATCCACCTTTCCGCTTTGTCCCAGGCCTTGGGGGAAAGGAAGGAAGTGCATGTTTGGGAAACTGGTATTACTGGAACTGTTTGAACCTCCTTGACCACCAGCATCCCCCCCTCCCCAAGGTGAAGTGGAGGGTGCTGCGGTGAGCTTGACCCACTCCAGAGCTGCAATGCCACTGGAGAAGTCAGACTACCATGACACACAGGGAAGGAGGGCAGATTTTTTTCTAGTTTTTAATTGGGGGGTGGGGGTGGGCTGGCAGGGAGGTTTTTCTATAAACTGTATCATTTTCTGCTAAGGATGGCATGTCCCGTCCTTTTAATCAAGGTGATTGTGATTTTGACTAATAAAAAGGACTTTATAATTGTGGGGGAACTTGGCTTTTAAGGGAGGGGATAACATGTTAATTGAGATTTCTTTGTCCTTCCACATCTCTTATCCGACCTCCATTGTAACCTGGCAACCTCTGATTGTACGGACAGACATATGGGCTGGTGGTCTCACATGTCAGGAACTTTGGGTTAAGTATTTTCCAGAGGCGGATCTCCCCTTGCAAGACTGGGGTAAAAAGAGTTATTCACTCATGCTTCTTTTCCCCTGTCCTTTGCCCACCTCTGTCACCAGAGAGATTAAGGAGCTCCCCCACTCTTAAGAGTCCCCAAAGTGAAACCATAGGTAGGGTTAGAAAGTTTAATTTCCAGATATACTGAGCAAAAAAAATATAACCCTAACAGCAGCAACTCTTTTTCCTAAGGGGAGGTCCTGCTCTATATCTAGGGAAAGAGACACAAGGATAGGGGGATGGAGGACTTTGGGGTACATATCCCAACTTCCCCTACAACTAAACATAATTTGCCATCTGCATTGTCCTGATCTACATGTTTGAGAGGCCGAAGAAGGCTATGCTGTTACTCCATGAACAAGAGCCTGTCCACGCCTTTCTGTAGGGGCTGTCTACAGAAAACAGGGGTGACTACCCACTACTCCTACAGTATTTTCTGGCCAGTCCCTGCACCTCATTCGAGAAGCTCCCTGATATCCATGAGGGGAGAGCATCCATAATGTTGGCACAGGAGTCTATGCCTCTGTGGTTTGTGCTGAGGTGAAGACCACGGTTTTCCGGTTTCCTAGCCTCTTCTTCCTAGAAGGGGGAATGGTTCATGAAAATGACTAGTATCCTAGGTGAAACAGATTAAAGGTGGAATAGAGTGCTTCCTAGTAGGAAAAAAAAGGACCAAAGAAATGAAAAGTAGGACCTCACCGAATCTTTCTGGCGATGAAATAAACAGCCAACAGAAGGCAGAGACAGCCAACCAAGATTCCCACTCCCAGACTCAGCATTTCGCCTGGGAGAGAGAAACACAGAAGGTGTCATCCTGGGACTAACAGATAATGAGACTTTCCCTCACGTGAAGCCCCCGGCCCCTCCTACCTGGCTGTCTTACCTGTAGTATACAAGGATCCCACTGTAAGGGAAGAAGACACTGGTCAGTGGGCCTTGCGCTCCCCATCACAGCTGGGAGCAGCACATTCTGCCTCTGTGCTGGGGAAGATCATCTGGCACTCAGGGGTGGAGGGATTCCTGGTCCAAGCAAGTCCCCTTAACCTTCTAGCCTTCTTTTTTCTCCTCCCAGGGTCTCCCATTTTCCTGTCCTGCCATTGAGTCCCCCAACTCCTGTCTCCTTTTCCAAGCTCTGTGCAGTCACCTTGGATGAAAGAAGCAAAGACTGTTCGCTGATTGAGAGGCTGGGGGGCTCGGTAGTTCCGTACCAGTAGCTTAGAGGGCTCTTCTTCTGTGGAAAACAGCGTTTCCTGAAGCTCTTCCAGCTGAGGAGTAGAAGAGTGGGATTAGGGGAGAAATGTCACTCACTTTGTGGAATGGGAAAGGGTCTGAGGCTCTAACCATGACCCTGCTGCCTCACCTCTCCACTGCTCACCTGTCCCATGGAAATCTGAGCCCTTCGATTGAAGACTGTCCAGAGCACACTCTGGTAGCAGGGGGGTGTGGTGAGCGAGCCATTGTAGCGGAAGAACTGGTTCAGCTGTGGGGGGAGCAGCTCTCCCACATTGAAGGGAGGCACTGAAGTCTTCTGATCTGGGGGGAGAAGAGACTGGGACTCTTCTCCCCCTCATTGTACCCTAGCTTACCCAGATAGGGCTCCCAAAAGCCAAACTCCTGGCCCCTAACTCACTGTCATCCCTGGCCTCATAGGCCTTTGTGAGGAAGTGCCCCCTGAAGTCTAATCGCAGGCTCACCTTTATGCCTGATTTCATGCAGGTGACTCAGAATATGTTCATAAACTGGATTCTTAGCCTCACCCACCTGGAAAGGGAGAGAGTGGAATGAATCCATGTTTGTTTGTTTGCTTTATTTTTTAAATTTTTTTTTTATTTATTTATGATAGTCACACACAGAGAGAGAGAGGCGCAGAGACATAGGCAGAGGGAGAAGCAGGCTCCATGTACCGGGAGCCCGACGTGGGATTCGATCCCGGGTCTCCAGGATCGCGCCCTGGGCCAAAGGCAGGCGCTAAACCGCTGCGCCACCCAGGGATCCCTGAATCCACATTTGGAGTAAGGTGTTCACATAGAGAAAAAATGATCAGAGTGGGCTGCTGCCCAGCTAAGGGTGAGTGAGCAGCAATAGACATGGACAGAATTGGATTGAGGGGTGGGGACAGAGTGGGGAGAGGCTGGGAGGAATTGGGGACCACTGACCTCAATGAGGATGCCCAAGACAGCCAGGCCCTGAGGCTTTGGAGCAGCCTCGCTCAAGCTGTCATAGGAGTCGGAATCATAATGTACAATGTGGAGCTAAGGGAGGGGAGAGGAATGAAATCATTTAATGTTCCTCCACCACCCCTTTCCAAAGGCTTTGACCCCAGCCGCCACCGCCACCACCGCCACAATATCCAGCATGCCCTAAACCTGTCCCACAAAAGTTGGCCTTATCCTCCGAGGATGACTTTTCCCAGTTTTTCCCTATCCTCCAGAGCCTTCCTTTCCCTGGCACCAACCATGTCCTAGTGCAAGCTTTGTTCCCTGGTACCTCGGCCGCTGTGGCTTCACCGTTGATCTGGTGCTCTGATCCCCCCAGGGATCCTGTCTCACCCCAGTGTAGGTGAAGCTGGGCAGCTACATATTTTCGGGGAAGTCCCTCCAGATACATGGTAGGGGGCAGAGAGAGTTGTACTGTAAGGAAAAGAGAGCAAGCTCAAGTCGGTGGGGGAGTGTGGTCACATTCTCACTCCTCCATAGCCACTGCTCCTTGGGAGACTTGGCCAGCCTTTTCTGCCTCCCTCCGCTAGCAGCACCCAGTCCTTCTCACCACTGCTTTTCTAGCATCTCTTCCCCCTTTTCAATGAGGATCAAGTTGACGTTATGATGCTAAATCCACCGATTGTAGACATTCACTCCTCGCCTTTGGCTATAAGGAGCTTCATCCCCATTCTCGCATCTCCCAAATTTCTAGATAAAGCCACCTGAGAATTTAGAAGTTAGGCAAATGCTTCTTTCCTCAGACTCCTTAGATTGGAACTGGAGTTTATGCCTCCTTGGAGCCTGGGCTTTTTACCTGTATGGCCATTATTGTGCAGGTCCAAAGGCTCAGTGCTAGGCTGGTCGTATCCCTGGAGCTGCAGAGCAGGCAACTCGGGGTCAAAGGTCACACTGTCTGTCTGGATATCGATGGGGGATTGGGCATTGCTGCCACACTCCGGGTGAGAGGCTGGCCAGTGGTCTTGACCGTGTGGGCCTAGTGGGGATTACCATGGACATCTGTCCTGCCCTTCAGGCATCCTGCATCCTGCAGGATGCCCCCCACTCCCGACCCAGGCAGAGAACCCCAGTGGTGCAGGGCTTGGTGAGGCAGGGGTCCCTGCTGGACTGGCTGCTGCAGCACCCTTCACCTTCCCTGAGGCACTGATGAATCCTAGCTCTGCTGTCTTGATAGCAGGAGAGTAGTGGCTTTTACTTTTCTGTAGTTTGGGGATAGAAAACTGAATAAGGAAAAGGGAATGGATAGAAAACCTGCATGCTGGAGAGGTGAGTCCAGAATAGAAGTAGGGAAGCTGGGGAAGCAAAAATGATCCTTGAAAGAGGAAGTCTCCTTGGGGGCGCCCCTATTAAGCGGCCTCAGGATTCCATCCCCTTACTGACTTTCCACCACTCATTTCTTGAGATCACTCGATCACTCGGGGACCTTGCCCTGACTCTGGAATTCGCATATGAGTCAGAAGTTCAAAGGAATGGAGTCCACCTCCGCCAGGATCATAAAGTATCCTCCAGGCTCTTTCTCACCCCGCCCCGACCTCAGGCTCTGTCCCAATTCCAGGTGCAGGTGGGATCTCTGAGTCAGAGATAAGCCAGAAGTGATGGGCGCTGAGCTCAGTGCTCCTTTCCACACCTGGTTTCCTCCCCACTCCAGCTGCCTCCTTCCCACACAGGCTGACCGAGGACACCCCTGGCTTTCGGGGCCCCATCGGCACGTATGGGGCTGGTCGGTCAGAGCTGGGGCTGGGAGTCCTCCAGGTAAACTTGGGGCCTGGGGGCCCAGAGCGGGGAGGAGCCGGGGCGGAGGCTGAGGGGAACTCCCCGGCGCTCGGCAGGTGGAGAGGCCCGGGTGGGAGAGGGGCAGCGGGGGCCCTTGGGGCGGTGCGCTCACCCTCGTACGTCCAGTGCTGCTGACCTGCGGGGGAGAAAGCGCGGCTGCAGCCAGGGGCGGGGCAGCGGCCTCCCGCCCTCCGCCGCCCCCCTCCCCTAGCGCTTCCTGGAGGAAGCCCTGAAACCCGACACCTCGGGGGAAAGGTCGGCGGGGAGCCCTATTTAAAAATCTGCGGCGGGGTTGTGCGGTACGTGCCGAGCCGAGGGGGAGGAGACCGGCGCTGAGAGCGGGGGGACTAAAATTAACCTGCGCCCGCTGTAGCCGCGCGCCCCGCCGAGCCAATCCGACACTTAGATGAGGCTGAGGGCGGGGTGTGAGAGGAGGGGGACTGCGCGGGGGGGGCGGGGGGAGCATGCGGGGGGGGGTGCTCCCCGTGGGGACCCGCCGTTATTCCTTGGCTCTGAAGCGTCGGGCGAGGTGGGGCCCCCGGCTGTGAATTCGCAGTGAGGTCTCTCCTCCGGTCCTAGGACTCTGGGGGAACTTTCCCCATTGCCAGGAGCCTCCGCTCCCTGGATCCCTAGATGCCCAGGGAAGGTGGGAGCCCGGGCAGGGTCCCCGCCACGCTGAGGCTGGTGGGTGGGCATAGGCAGCCAGGCTGAAAGTGAGGCATTGTGTGTGGAAAGGAGAGCTGCCAGCTGGGTCACATGCCGGGCTCTCGTGCAGTCCTATCTCAGGCCTTAGGGTCCATTCTTACCCAGGGCCAAATGGCTTCAACGAGAGAAGGAAGGCTTTCCTGCAGGTTTTCTCTGTTATTATTTCTCTATTATTCCAATTCTAATTCAAATTCAAATTCTGGGGAAAAATTCTAAATTCCTTCCTCTCTCTCTCTCTCATTCCCTCAAATTCCTCAGACTTCTGAGATATCCTTGATGTTATCCTTGGGCACTTGTCCTGGCCCATCCCTTGGTTCAGACACCTCTGAGTAGCAGCCCAGGGGGGAGGGCTGGAGGCAGCCTCTCACTCACCAGCACCCAGGGACACTCACACAACTTGAAACCCACTCTCCTCAGGGAGTTAGGTCCGAGCTGACAGCCCTGTCTTCCCCTCCCACCAGATCCTCAACATGCTAGTTCTTTAGCTCTTCCCCTTTTTTCCCTGTTTTTTTTTTTTTTTTCCCCTTTTCCCTCAGAGGCAATTTCCAACTCTCCATTGGGCTGGTCCCCTCACCCTGTCACCCTCCCTGCATTCCCCTCTGCTCTCTGGGCCCTCCTCCTCCCCCTGCTCTTCCAAAGGGATTTTAATTACACACCTACTGTGTACCCGATACTGTGCTAGACAAAGGAAACTAAAAAATGAGGGGTAGAGGTCCTGGGGACTCTTTGGAGCACTGGAGCCTAGTCTCCCAAGTTCTCCTCACCTAGGAGCTTCTGAAAGTCCTTTGTAAGCTGTAAAGGGCCCAATGGTGTTGACTATTATTGCTACTGCTTTCAGGGAGAAGCTGGAAATCCGTGGCCCCATATAGAATCAAGAGAGAATATCAGCTGGAGGTTCATAGTTGGGGATCCAGGTCTGACTTAGTTAGAAGGTGTAGGGGTATGCCCCCACCCCCATCAGTCCTCTATCTTTTCATGCCCTGCTTCCTTGGCTCCCTAATTAAGGGAGTTCGCAAAATAAGAAGGCTGGGAGGGTCGCCTGGGACCATGGCAGTGAGGGAAAGAGTGGGGAGAGAATCTTGAGACTGCGAGGAGATTCCCTGCAGTGTGTACAGTGTGCATACACATTCTGCTCCCAGCCCTCCCCCCATCCCCACAAACAGTAGGGCTGGACAGGCAAAGGGGGAGGAAGGAAAGTGCTCCTCTCCCCATTCCTGTCGCTTCCCCCACATTCCTGAGTCCATTATTCAAGCTCCTTTTATACTCCTCCCACCCCCCCTCCACTCCATTAAGTAAACCTGAAGTTCGGCACCGACAGACACACAGACATCCAGATGTACTTACCCCCTTCTGCAGCCAGGATCCAAATCACCTCCAGCAGGAGACTGAAGAACAGCATAGTATCCCCGGAAGAAGCAGGTACTGGGAGTTTGGGGACTAGAGGGACTAGGTTTGGCAGAGAAAGGGGGGGGGGGATGAGGGAGAGAGGGGAGAGAGGAGGGAGGGAGGGAAGAGAGAGAGGAGTTTCTTGGAGCTGAGCTGATTGTATTTATCTCTTTTTCTCTTGATGTCTTGTGGGCTTCCAGGGGATTTGGTTTTCAGTAGGGTACTGTAGGGTTTTGGATCCCTAGGACAAATCTTTCGCTGCCTCTTTTTAAAAATCTACCTCTACAGTCTTCAGTCCACTTGCTGGCCAGCGACTTCACAATTGCCTCCTGCTTTTAAGGTGGCTCTGGACGGGTGTACAGGGTGGGGGTGGGGGGGCTGCCTGGGTTGCTGGAGAACAGCTCCTTAAATAGCCGATTGGGCATGCGGACCTGGAGTGTGCAGCTTCATGGGAGCCCTGGCCCTGGCTCAGGAGCCCAACTGGGGTGAGCTCTTCCTTCCTCTGTTCTTCTCATGGGCACTGTCCAGGTAAGTGTCCTCTGGGGCAGCCGGGGCACGGGAGGAGGGCTTCGGGGTCCAGTCCTTGCCCCCTCAGGGGGGACACTGTGTTCTCATTCCCCTTGTGGCTTCTCTAAGGGGCAGCTCTCCTGGGTGGTATGGGGCAGAGTGGGGGGAAGATCTATTTCCTGTCCCCTGCAGAATTTGAGCTGCTCTGGAATAGGAAGAGTCCAAAGTTTGGAGATAGACAACCTGGAGGAGTTGGGGACTCGGGGTGCAGGTGGAGGGTAGGAAGTCAAGGGCTAAAAGCTAGCTCATGAGGACTCCTGGGTGGTTCAGCGGGGGGCATCTGCCTTTGGTTCAGGGCATGATCCCAGGGTCCAGGGATCGAGTCCCACATTGGGCTTCCTGCATGGAGCTTGCTTCTCCCTCTGCCTCTCTCTCTCTCTCTGTGTCTCTCATGAGTGGATAGAGTCTTAAAAAGAAAATAAAATAAAAGCTAGCTCATGGAAAATAAAGAAGAGAACTGAGGCAAGAGACCTTGCTTGGAGCGATCTCTTCCTGCGCCTGTCACCACCCGCTTCCCACGGTGAGGCCTGGGTCCACGTGCCTGTGTGGCCTGGGTGGGGGGGGAGGTGGTTTTGTTTGCTGTATAATGCCCATTTGTGTGTCCAGTGGGGGAGGGGCTGCTGCAGCAACATGGAGAGACAGCGGCTCCAACTGCCAGCCCCAGCTACCTCCTTCCCCAGGGAGCCCAGATCTAGGGCGGTTTTTGTCATTGAAGAGTACACTGACCCCTGGCAGGGAGGCCAGGGCAGGAGGAGAGATCGGAAGACCTCAGGAACATCATTACCACCGTAAAAAAAAAAAAAAAAAAAAAAAAAGACTAGAGAAAGGGTGGGGAGAGAGCAGAGAGAGAGACCATGTGATCTAGTTGGAAGTGGGGCTCAGGGTCTTCCTTCTTGCCCAACAAAGGGCTGAGGCAGGACAAGTAGGACTGATAAAATCTGCCACCAGGGAGTTGGATGAGTAGAACACAGAGCCTGCTGAGTCTCAGGAATGTGGGCTGGTGCTTGTTTCCCCACGGGACTGGAAATCCCGATTGGAATGTACATCTTAAATCCCTCATTAGAGAATGTGAAACACACAGATAATTTCAAGCCAGCCGCTGAGACCTCTTTCTCCTCTGTGCCCTTCACCAGAGTCAACAGCCTTGAGGATGCACCCATTTGAACTCACTCTGCGCTTGTCCCTCCTGCCAAGGAGCAAGAAGAAACCAAAACAAAGGGAACAGAGACTAAATGAGGGAGCAAGATAAATGCCAATTGAACAGAATAATGCATGTGCTGGATCATCGGGGCCTCCTGAGGCAGGAACTGCCTGGTCTTTCTGTGCCCTGTGATTGATCTGCAAAGCAAAACCATTTGCCAGATATAATTTCCTTCTTCATTTCCTCATCACCTGTCAGAATTATTTTTCCCTTACAGATACATTTTATGTTTTGAGGTTCCCCCAAAGCCCCATCTCATCCAAGAAGAATAAAAGGTATAAAGTGTAAACTAGACATCCTGGGAATCAGGATAGTTAACACAGAGAAACAGAGAAAAGAAGAAAAGCAGAGACATTTACTGCACAGGGTGGTGGTAGAGGGGGAGAATAGGCCTGGACAGAATGACCTCTGCTGGGTCAGAGTTCCCTTTCAGTGGCGCCTGGAATTCAGCTTCCCCAGGCAGGTAGTGTCTTGCCAGGCGCCACCTCCTGGTTGTCTCGTGAATTTTTAAAAAATTTTAAAATCTCATTTTAAAACGTGTGACTGCTTAGGGGAAGTGTTTCACTGCTGATGGGATTTGGGATTTTGCCTACAGAAATAAACATTGTTTCACAAAAATGTCTTAGCCCCAAATCAGCACCTTCCCACTTCTGAGTGAGCAGCCTCTCCAGGCCCTCATGCTTCCCAAGTGGACAAGGCCTTGGTTTCTGGGAAGGCGGGAGAAAGGAGGCAAGCACCATCCTCCAGGCACTTGCCTTTATTTTGATCTTTTGTTCTACCATGGATATTTCTGTTGTCCCCGAGGTAATTTGGAGTAGGTGTCAGGAGGGTCCTTACATATTAAAACAAAATAAAATGCCACCCCACTACCACTCCCTTCAACTTAGTAGCCTTCAAACTCTGGCACCTTTGTTTTAATTCCTACTTCTGTCTCCGGGACATTCCTTAACCTGGGCTTGGCTAAACCCAAGGCATTGCACTGCCCTCTGGCGCCATCTCCTGTCCTTTCAAATGCAGTGAAATGTGAACAGGTCAGAGAATCAGGTATCCAAGTGTGGTGGCTTTCTGGTTTGTTTTTTTTCTTAAAGGGTTGTTATTATTATTGTTATTATTATTATTATTATTTTAAAATATTTTATTTATTTATTCATGAGAGACACACAGAGAGGCAGAGACACAGGCAGAGGGAGAAGCAGGCTCCTCTCAGGGAGCCCAATGTGGGACTCAATCCCAGGACCAGGATCACACCCTGAGCAGAAGGCAGACGCCCAACCACTGAGCCACCCAGACTTCCCTATTATTATATTTTTACTTAAGTAATCTCTGCACCCCACATGTGGCTCAGTCTTACAAGCCTAAGATCAAGAGACATGCTCTTCCAACTGAGCCAGCCAGGCATCCCATTAAGAGATCTTTCTAAAAAGTATATTTAAGCTCAATAAAAGCCCTAAATAGTCTAAAACACCTTACAGGAGTTCTCTAGGTGCTCTGAGTTTGTGTGGTGAGGTATATGAGAGTTCAACATGGGAAGGAGGCAGATCACAAAAGAAGAATGACCAACATAGGAACTTACTCAAACAATACGGGTGGTTACTACATTACTGAGAAAAGAGAATCAATGCAGAGTCTATTAGATGGAATTCAGTTTCCTTAAAGAGCAAGCAACTTTGTGCCATGAAATAATGTAGACTCAGAGATATTCTAATTTGGTAGATAATCGTATTTATTATCACATGCTTGTCTCCTAACACATTAGTACTGAAGCCTCTTAAGAAATACAAGAGTTTTCAAGAATTAAAATCAAAGTAAAAATAAAAATTAAAGTCCAAATAATCTGAGGGGGGTTGGTCAGAGCTCTGGATCATTTTCCCAGTTTTCCAGTTCATATTGCACAACAAATGCAATGTGAGACTATTGTAGACAAAAGGGAAGTTTGGGGTCTGAAATCTTACAACTCTAATTAAAAAGGAGTAATTTAAAAATAAAAATAAAAAAAAATAAAAAGGAGTAATTTTGAGGGGCCTGGGTGGCTCAGTTGGTTAAGCATCTATCTTCCTCTCAGGGTCCTGGGTTAGGGCTCCCTGCCCAGAAAGGAGTCTGTTTCTCCCTCTGCCCCTATCCACCCCTGCTTGTGTGTTCTTTCTCTCTCATAAATACATAAAATCTTTTTCTTTTTTTTTTAAAGGAGTAATTTTGTGTCCGGCATTGATTCCATGCCCAGATCACTGCCTGGTACATACATATTTGCTGACTGACTGAATGAATCTAGTCATTGGAACATTTATTTGTTTTCTTTCTGTCTTTGGTATTTTACAGAATTTTAGACCAGAAGGGTTCTCAGGCATCATTCCAACTCCTTTGTTATACCCTGTGAAGACAGAGTTCTGAGGGGTTTAGGGATTTTCTCGTGATTAGACACATTGCAGCTAAGCTGACAAACCAGACCAAGGGCACAGACACCATTGGACTTACTGCTACATCACCGGTTCTTAAACATCAGTGTGCATCAGAATCACCCGGAAAGCTTATAAAATTACAGATTTCTGGGTCTCTTCTCCACCATGGTTTCTGACTCTAGGTCTGGGGTATGTCTGGAGAATTGCATGTATAGCAGGTCCTCAGGTGATGCTGATGGTCTGAGGGACCACACCTGAGAATCAATGTCCTACGCCACCTGGAGTTGGGGAGGTAGGAGGGAGTTTGCCATTCTTTGTAGAGCTTACAGCCATCTGGAATTGTTATTTGCAGTCAGCTTTATAGAGATGAGTCACACAATACCTTCACTAGTTCTAGATGTTAGGCATCATGCCACGCTAGAAATAAAAAAATTAACAAGAGGTAATTTCTGCCCTCAAGAACTTCACAATCTCTTAAGGGCTACAGATATCCTACCCAATTACTAGACTATAGCAGTAAGGAGTTTTTGTTTTGTTGTGTTTTTTTTTTTAAGGATCTTACTTCATTCATAAGAGACACAGAAGCAAAGACACAGGCAGAGGGAGAAACAGGCTTCCTGTGGGAAGCCCGATGTGAGACTCCATCCCAGAATCCCAGGATCATGCCCTGAGCCAAAGGCAGATGCTCAAACCACTGAGCCACCAGGTGCCCCAGCAGTGAGGAGTTCTAAATAGTGGTAGAGCAAAATATTATGGGAACCGAGAGAGATCGGCAACTAGCAGTGAGATTTTCTTTACTTGATTTCAACAGTCTTTCCACTTTATGCTTCCAGAATGGGAGCATAACTAGGTCCTAGAGTTACATATAACAACATGAAAATTCCACTCCAAGGCAGGCAGATTCATGCTTCACTGTCTTGGAGACACTGTCAAAGCAGGATTCTCCTTAATGTATCTTATAAATTGCTTCCTCTGCAAGAAAGGAGGAAAAAGAATAGCATGGTGCCCTGGAATTGTAGTTCTTTGTTCCATCTGCTCTGGTGGCTGCCTCATTCTGCCTGTCTTCTTCCTTTTCTCCTTATTTTCTACCATTCATCTAACTCAAATGAAGGTCGTATACCAACCCAAGCAAAAGACATTGACATTTCTACCATTTCCCTTCCTTGGTGAGATAAAAACATTTTTTCTTTGTTTTTAAAGGAACTGTTATGTTTAAATCCCTATAGGAATAAGAATCAGAGGAATCTGATTAGAATCAGAGAGTTATATGACATAATCTTGTTACACTGGGTATCTTATTACTGGCTTATATCATCCCCCAAATAAGAAGTCTGTTCTCAGATTGGATTGTGACAAATGATTTGGAGTTCTTTGAAACTTTATAAGAGAAAGAATTTGCGGGCAGCCCTGGTGGCTCAGCGGTTTAAGCACTGCCTTCAGCCCAGGGCCTGATCCTGGAGACTGGGATCGAGTCCCATGTCAGGCTCCCTGCATGGAGCCTGCTTCTGCCTCTGTCTGTGTCTCTATCTCTGTCTCTCATGAATAAATAAATAAAATCTTTAAAAGAAAAGAGAGAGAAAGAAATTGTTGTGTTTTCATGGACATCTTATCTGATCTCAAAATAGCTATGCATTTTAAAAAATATTTTATTTATTTATTCTTGAAAGGCAGAGGGAGAAAGAGAGAGAGGTAGAGACACAGGCAGAGGGAGAAGCAGGCTTCATGCAGGGAGACCGACTGGGACTTGATCCCAGGACTCCAGGATCACGCCCTGCGCCGAAGGCAGGAGCTAAACCACTGAGCCACCCAGGCTGTCCTATGCATTTTTTTTTTTAAAGGACATGATTCTTGGGGCACCTGGGTGGTTCAGTTGGTTAAGTGTCTGCCTTCAGTGCAGGCCACGATCCCAGGGTCCTGGGATGGAGCCCCACATTGGGGCTCATCCCTGCCCAACAGAGTCTGCTTCTCCCTCTGCCCTTCCCCTGCTTATGCTTGCTGTCTCAAATAAATAAACAAAATATTATTTTAAAAAAGGATATGAGTCTTAAAAGGTAAAATGACTTGGCTGAAGTCATATAGAAATATTACTGGGACAAACAATCAGGTTCTGACTGATCCCTCACCCAAACCATGTTAAAATACTTTAAAAAAATCTTTAAGGAAAATAGAGGATTTTAAATTTATTTTTATTTATTATTATTATTTATTTTCTTTTAGTAGAGGATGTTTCTGTTTCTGGCTGCTGCTGCTGCCTCAATTAATTCCCTGTAGTAGTTGAGGAGACGTTGCTTAGAGGAGGAACTCCAAAAGCCAAAAATATATATTTTTTAAACCTTCAAGTCATTTCTTTCTTTCTTTTTTTTTAAGATTTATATATTTATTTATGATAGACATAGAAAGAGGCAGAGACACAGGAGGAGTGAGAAGCAGGCTCCATGCCGGGAGCCCGACGCAGGACTCGATCCCGGGACTCCAGGATCGCGCCCTGGGCCAAAGGCAGGCGCCAAACTGCTGAGCCACCCAGGGATCTCCTCAAGTCATTTCTAAAGCAACATCTGCAAAAGTGAAATGGAGCTATTAGTGAGCTCTATTGTTCTATCCAATATACTTATTAGTTCAGGTATTACATATATTTTAATTAAATAGCACTCTCACAGGTTGGTTATACATCCATTTACATTGGGAAAAATTGATATCTTTGCTGCTTTTTAAAAAAATTAAAAGGAGGGGCATCTGGGTGGCTCAGCTCATTAAGCCTCCAACTCTCAGTTTCAGGTCTTGATCTGAGAGTTGTGAGTTTAAGCCCTGCTTTGGACTCCATGTTGGGAATGCAGCCTACTTAAAAAAAATAATACAAATAAAGGAAATGGTTACTTGGAGTTGGCTCTAGAATGGTAGAAAACATTAGATCTTAGCAATGGCTTGTCACTTTTCCACTTAATTTTCCTTATTATTATTTTATTTTTTTAAATTATACAAGTAATACCTGAGGAATTTAGGGAAAATAGAAAATTCAAGAAAGAAAAAAATTACAATGATTTACAATTCCTTCAATAAGAGATAACTGTGTTAACATTCTGGTATCTTACAAATGTTTCTTTTTTATTTTATTACAAATGTTTTTTAATGAAGTTACATCTAAGTGCATACTTTTTATGTGTACATATATTGTACTTTTTAAAAAACTGGAACCAGGGCAGCCTGGGTGGCTCGGTGGTTTAGCGCCACCTTCGGCCCAGGGCCTGATCCTGGAGACCCGGGATCAAGTCCCATGTCAGGCTTCCTGCATAGAGCCTGCATTTTCCTCTGCCTGTGTCTCTGCCTCTGTGTGTGTGTGTCTTATGAATGGATAAATAAAATCTTAAAAAAAAAAAAAGTGGAACCATACTCTATACGTAATTGTTCTGTAACCTTTTTTTCTAACTTTATTTTGTGAACATTCTTTTATGTCAATAAATATGTACCCCTGTTTTTCTTTCTTTTGCTTTAATGGATGGCTCGTTCCTTTCTTTAATTACAAAAGGAATGAGACCTACATTTTAAATTATTGAACACATATAAAACCCAGTATATATTCATATTCGCTAGAGCTACAAAGTATTATCGC